CCACCAATTATTAAGCCATAAAACAACAAAGATCAAGAATTATAAAATGGAGTTTTTTTTTTTTTTTTTTGAAAATATTAAACATGGAGTTAAGAACAAGGATTGGTTAAGAGATCATCCATATTGTACATTGACTATAAATCATATATTTTGTTTTAAGTCTTAAATCTATCCAATTTTGTGTGGTGGGTCCATAATTAATTAACTTTTACATGTGCATCGCATGATTATCCATATATATCCAGCTTCCCAAAATCAATGACTCCTATGTTTTTCATCTTTTAATTAACGATTATATTTAAAAAGTACCCCTTTATACCTAAAAATGTAATTTTTTTAATGCAAAACTCGCCATTGTTGGGAACTATTTTGCATTACGATTTCATATGCACCGTTTCGAGAAACATAGAACGGTTTCAAATCTTTCCTACTGCAAATAAAGACAAAATCTTACACTATCTAGAAATTAGTTGTAATCTTGATAATTAAAATTTAATTATAAGGATTGCTTTAATGATTCAACGATTGGCTGCAAAATGTTTTTGATTAATATGGGGATTTAAACAAAATTAATTGGTTTCCATGTTTGGTAGTCGCACTACAATGAAATCTAACATTTGGCCCGGTCAAAGATTGAGAGTTTTAATGCTACAAATGTGCACTTTGTGAGTTGATTATCAGCATAAATGAAGACATTAAATTTTGGAGAAAATTTTAATATACCCTCTTTTATATATATTTTTGCATATATTTTATGTTGTCGTACATGAAAATCTTGCCATTGTTGGTTCGTTATCTTTACCCACTTTATCGAACAAAATCGGGTTCAAGTCTAAAAGATTGCAACTATTAATAAATGATTAGTGGTCTGCTAATTACTTTTCAAAATTCAAGTTTAATTATCAATGGATGTTAGTTTAGGTGGCAAAAAGAGTTTGTTTTTTTCTTTATTTTTTACTTAAGTTTGAATTTGTTGAGAGACGGTATTGAAATAATTTTTTATGCATTTATTAAGTTTAATATAAATAATTTTACTTGGAGCAGCTCGATTTGAACGAAACTCAATAATTTCTTACTGCTGAAAAAAAAAATCGAGCTTAATTATAGAGAAACAAGCGCCAAACTAAATTTGCTGGAGTGTTTCATAAGTTTGAAGATTGCACAACTGGCTAAATTCAACTTTGAAAAACTGACCTATAAGTATACATAATAAGAAAGTTAATTTGAAAAAAAAAAAACTGGCATTTGGATTTCTCTAGTGATTCATTCTCCTCCTTGAGTTTTTTTTTTTTTCTTATATGATTAAAGTATATTTTAGTGTTGATACTGCTCAACTCCAGTCAAATTAGGTTGGAGATCCTTTAAAAAATATATATCTAGAAAATCAATTATGATTTTATGTTGATTAAGATTACAAAACAAACATAATTAAATTAATAGTTAAGAAATTAAAAAAAAAATGTACATCCCACTTGTTTAATTCTTCTGACTAAATGAGTGGACTAAGAGCTAGCTCGTTACGCGTTAATTAACTGTATATTTGAAGGATTTGAAGCTTAATGTTATGTTCAACTCCATTGCCGGAATAATCTTGAGTTTAAGATATGCTATTAGCTGTCTGAAGTATATAGACATTTTTCCCACATTAGTTGGAGAGTATATATGAAATTCTATGATTGAAAAACAAGTTGTTGACTGGGGAGGGGATTATATTTAGCAATAAAGGACAACAAATTGCTATAAGATAGGGGGTGGCTATGTATTTGGAGCTGATGTCGGCTAAGTTGATCATATAGCTGTAGACTAATTAAAATTTTCAAAAAAAAAAAAATCTAGTCAATTTAGGTGGAAATCAACTAGCAAATCAAATCTTTGAAATTAAATTGTTTGTAATATCAAGTATATTGTCTTTTTCCTAATTTTTCCTTAATAGGAAGATAGTTGTAAATACTCTACCGGAATTTTCAATTTCATATTAATAATTGTGTAATGTGTTGATAGAATGCTAATCTTTTACTTTTAGTTCTCAGCATTCAATTTTTAACAATCTCAAATATCGAATAAATACATAAATTTTAATTGCATTTTCATGGTTTTGAACTTTGAAAGCTTAATAATTATCATGCATTTAAGGTCTTAAGGATATGTTTAGTATATAAAATTATAATAGGATAAGATAATATAAAATTATAATTAGCATTGGATTAAATAATGTTATATTATCTTATGTTTGATATATGTAAAGATTAAGAAATGATAATTTATTTATCAATCAAATTATCTTTTCTTAAAGTCTATATAATTTAAATTATTGATATAATTTTTAAAGATATAATGAGATATAAGTTTAATTCATGAATTAAAAATAATCTTCTCTACTTTAAGAGAATTGAATCATCCTATACGAGAGAGTAATTAATCTTTTTTATAATCCTATCAATTTTTTGGCCTACTAAATGAACTGTTGAGGTATTTTCTAAAGATTCCATTGTTTTTACAATGTTTAATTCAATCTTATCTTGCTTGCTTATAAAATAAAGGGCAATTCTTGAAAAAAAAAAAAAGCTTTATGTTCCACATATACCAACAAAGGAAAATGCCGGTAGCTAGTAATTAAGTTTTTTTTTTTTTTTTTTGTACAAAGCTAGTAATTAAGTTTTTGACTGCCATTAGTTATCCCTGATAAAGTTAAAAACTCAAATCCAATGCACACTGCTCACTGCCCTCATCGACAAGGAAAGTTATTAGAGACAAATTATTTAAAAATGTGTCTGACATTACCCCAACATCAAAATCACGTACCCCTTCAATTTCATGTGATCCTTGGGGGAAAGCAGGCAATATTCATGCATGTCCAAACACTTTTTTTTTTTTTTTGTTTCTTTTAATGGTAAGAAATCTTTTTTGCCATGTTTTGAACATCGTTTCAGTTTTAGATTGTTTGTATAATTGGCCAAGAAAAGGTTGGGCCTCACTGTCATGTATTGATGCAGCACTCTGATCTTCAACACTGTGAAGGGAAACGACATGATAAAGCAGACCAAAGCTAGAGTTTTAGCTTCTGGCCATTGATGTTAAAGATTTCAGAGAAATAGGAATTAATGTGAGTGAACAATCATTCATTAAACAACTTGGTTTAAGACTTTTAATTCGTATAGTTCAGCTTTGAGAGAATCCTGGCCCAACTCAGTCTACGCCTATTTTCTTATTTAGGATTTGGGCCAACAACCAGGCTACTTTCCCTTGGAATGGATATGCTATAGGTTGATTGTTACAAAATTAAACGTGCTTGTTTGCCTTATTATCAAATTAATCTTTTATTTCATTTAACTCTTTTGGTAATTTTTTAGCAATCGGATCATAAGAAGTCATTCAATTCACACAAAAGTTTGCTTCAAGATGAAGATGATGAATTTGACAAATCTAATCTCTTTAAATGTACTTCTATACTTATGACATGTTTTGATTATACTAAGAATGAAAATCAAAATGAAGAGATTTTTTTGAAAATTTTATATTATCGCCCTCGACTCAATTCTATACCTTTTTTTTCAATAATCAAATTACATATCAATATTTTCAGCTTTTTAACCGCTCAAGAAAGCTTAAAAAAATATATATAAGGTAAAAATTCGAACTCTATCATTCTCATCCTCTATTCCCTACCCAAAAAAGTTTAAAAAAAAAAATTGTATACAAAATATAGCCATGCACCATCTCTCCAAACCCTCCTCTTTTTAGTATAGATCCCAACTTCAAGTCTAACACAGCCAGGAATATCAAACCAAAGAGATATGCAAGTAAGCTTAAAAACATTGTACACAACTAGAATATTGAATTACTGGTACTATAAAATTCCCCAATCCTGGTTTGATGGATAAAAATAAAAGAAAGATAGTGCAAATAAATCCCATAATGGGAATTTTTTTTGTGAATAAGATTGTGTGCAGTTGCTAACTTACAAGAGTTCAAGTCAAAGATATGTTATCCCTCGTCTTACCTTAGAATTTTTTCCCATACTAACGTATTGCATTAAAATTTCTTGAGTAATGTATGAAAACAAGAAAGAAATTTTTTTATATAATTCAAAATGCAAAATCTACCTTAATTTTCAATGAAGAGGTTTCAATTAACCTCAATTATAAAAAAAAATAATTTATTTTTATAATAATGACATAATAATTTAGTTTTATTTAAATAACGAATAGTAAATTTCGATTTTAAAATTGATTGTACCTTTTTTTTTTTAATTTTGACCAAGCACGGTCATAGTTGAAACTCCATTGTAGCCAAATTTGTCGGCCAGGGCCCAAACCACAAACCCCACAGTCCACCCCAAAAAATCAATAATAGTTAAAGGTATTTATGATCAAGTTTGGCGGGCTTAAGACTAGCCTATTTTGGGCCCTTACCTTGAAAGCTAGATTTTATACTCTATAAAGTTATTTTGATATCTTATCCGCAGAGACAATTATCAAAATAATTAAATATTATTTTTTAATACGATTAACAGTATTTATAAATTTTTTTCGGGGTATAATTTCTTTTAAGATGATTTTAAAGTATAATCTTTAATATTGATATAAAGTATTTAAATTTTTACTTTTAAAATATTTTTTACTAACATCCAACTCTAATTGATCATGAAAAAAATTCAAATTTTTATCAATTAAATTAGTTCTTGAAAGTAAATGATGCTGTCTTATTAGTAAATATTTTGAATTAAATTCTGACATAATTAATTTTTTTAAAATAATGAATCCTATGAATTTTGATTTTTTTAGTTTTTAATTCATGTTTAAATTTTTTATTTTATTATTTATCTGATTAAAAAAATATTATGTCAAAAGTTTTATTTTAGTATTTATTTAATTAAAAAATATTATTTATATAAATTCTTTTGAATTCATAATTTTTAAATACAAAATCAAATCTGATAATTTTAACGAGCTTCCTATGTTTTATTTTATTTAATTAACTAATTAAGGAAAAAATAATGTAATTACTTTGAAAAGAAAAAGAAAGAAAAAGCTTCCTTGAAGTCAAAAACCTTGAATCAAAGTAAAAAAACATGTCATCTTCTCGTCATCAAGCCAAAGTACAGGCCTTTCCTCTCCAAAGGTAAAAACATTAACAATGTATTAAGCCTTTGCCTAAACAAGAAGCAAAAGTTAATGACGCGAAGCAAAGGGGAATATGCCGAGTGGCTGTAGAATCTCAGCATCAGGTCCAAATCGATGGTTTCTAAAGTTGGTCCTTCACGTTTTTCCTGGGGCCGAATCAAGCAGAAGCGAGCGTGCGTGCGAGCGTGCGAGCGTTCGAGCGAGCCAGAGCCAGACAGACGCAGCAGCAACCAAAGAGTCACTTACCTTAATTAATAACATGACCATTTCCATAGTATGTAACATTCAATTACCCTCATCTTCGTACTATTATTCCTCCACATCCTCCTCCTCCCGGTGCATAAGCACAGCCCCCGTTCCCCTTTCAAAGCGAAAACCAATACAACTTCCGCTCTATCGTACCTCTGCTTATCTCTCGGGTACCCTTTGTTATTCCTCATTCTTCTTCGTCTTTTGGGTGAAAATTTTGAGATCTTGTTGCATGTGATGTGAGTTATAAATGTTTTTTCTTTTTATTTGGATGAGTGCAGATATGGATGCAACAAGCACTCCTGGATTGTACCCATTGCACCGTTGTAAAACTCTGCATCTGGTTTGTGAATGATCTTGCTGTAATCTTTTTATTTTTATTGTTTTTATTGGTTTTGGAATTAAAAATGATAGGCCTATCTGGTTTTAAACATGGGATTTGTTTTTATGCAGGTAAGGCATGCTCAGGGGATTCACAATGTAGCAGGGGAAAAAGATTATGCCGCTTATTTATCTGAAGACCTTTTCGATGCCCATCTCACGCCGCTTGGCTGGCAACAGGTATGTAATGGAAAATCATTGGTTAAATTATTACATTCTTCAACAAAAATGTGTGCAAAATCTAGCAGTTGGGTTTTTTGGGAATTTATTAAAAAAAAAAAAACCGAATTTGTCTTCTTTTTTTTTTTTTTGGGTTTTAGAGTTTATTCTTTAAATATGCTTTTGAATTATGCTTTTTTCTTTGGTAGTAGTGGGAAGAATAACGATTTAGTATATTATATTTGGACCTATATTATAACAGGTTGATAATCTGCGCAATCATGTTCAAGAAACCGGGATTTCTAAGAAAATTGAATTGGTCATTGTTTCTCCTTTACTCAGGTATATAACTTTTCAATTAATTTGTTTCTTTCTCAAGATTTTGTTTTTCTATTTTTTCTTTCCATTCTTTTATTTTGCTATGTTATTACCTTTAGGAAAAGAAAACTTTATGGCATCCTTTCTTGTTAAGTTAGCAATATATATAATGCCACCATATAAAAACTTTTCATGCCGTACTTGTATTGCATGTTCGTGTCTCTCATAGAATACTAGTGTTTGTCCTAGCTTTGCCTTTTCTATCCTTATTTTAATTAGTGAACCCCATTTATTGCTGTAGTATTGGCTTTGTTGAATCATTTTCTATTTCGCTTTGCTTGTCATTGCCAAGTTTGATGCGATAATATTTTAGGGTAGCTATAGAACTTAAACTTTATGCCTAACTTGACTAGGCTTATGTGTACATATTTGTAGCATAAGAGCAAAGGTATGCTCGACAGAACAAGTTCAGTGCAAAATCAACAATCTTCTTTTATAACTTTGAAGACAAGAAAAAGAAAAGGAAAAGAATAGGAACTTATCCAGAGGAAAACTGAAAACAAATAATTAAATCTATTTAAGAATCATAGTTATATGTTTAGTGCTGAATGTTCATTGCCTGGAAAATCGAAGCATTCATGCTTCTTTTATTAATGGATACTTGCTTTTTAAATTTTAGTTTTTACTCAGTCTCATGCTATAGTTGTCAGGGAATAATGGATTTTGGACATTTTGGCATTATAGGACTATGCAAACTGCAGTGGGAGTCTTTGGTGGTGAAGGGTATAAAGATGGGATAGTTGTACCTCCACTAATGGTGGAAAATGTAGGGGAAAGTCACCGTCCTGAGATTTCAAGTCTGAATTGTCCGCCATTTCTAGCTGTTGAACTTTGTCGAGAACATTTGGTATGTTCTTGAACTTCTAAAAACACTAACTAAACCTCTTTATGGATCTTTTGGACTTTCTTTTATCCATAAAGAAAACAGAGAAAATAATTCTGGTGATATCTGGTAGACACCATATGACAGAATTTATTTCAACTTAATGTGTTTCTGCTTATATTTTTGTATGCTGTTGCATTAATTACTTGTCTGGTGTATGATGAATATAAATAGTCAGATTTCATACATGCATTTGCATGGTAATGAACTATGTTTTCTCCTCTGAGATTAAAAGAGCGTAATAATATTACTTCAACTCTGTCAAGCATTCTAGTTGAACAGATCCCAATCGGGTGCTACAGCCTACTATGGATATTCTAAGTCATTATTGTAAGTAGTCAGCTTTCATGCATGCATTTGCATGGTAATGAACTGTGTTTTCTTCTCGAGATTAAAAGGACGTAATAATTTTACTTCAACTCTGTCAAGCATTCTAGTTGAACAGATCCCAATCGGGTGCTATAGCCTACAATGGATATGCAAAGTCATTATTTTTAGTGTGAATGTAGATTCCTCCCTTTTTCCATGGTAAAAAAGTTTGCAGTGCTACAAATTTTCAAATGTTAATATTTAACATTGGTATTCGATATCCATCAATTTCCTTGATAAAACTCCAAACCTTTGCTTTTGGAATAATGTATTTTAACTATCTATTTTATTTTATTTTTTTACTGGATTCAATTTAAATTTCCCTTTTTCTCCTTTTCAATGTGGATTTCAGATGCACCAACATAGATGTCAGGATTGGAAGAAATTCTTATTTCATTTCTATTCTCTTCTAGGCTATGATAGAGCACAATATCTAATGGTTTAGGCATATTATTATAAATCTGGAAATTGGATTTTTTGACATCTAAAGCTCAATCCCCATCATGTGTCGGAGACTTGGAACATAAACCCAACTTCTTTCGGTTCACTGGTAAATCTAGTTCATCTGTTTAATTGCTTCCATAGCAAATGCCACTTTAACTTAAGAAATTCTGAATTTGAAGAAGAACGGATATTGCAGATACTAGTGCATTTAACGTAAGAGACAACCATTAGTTGGTAAATATTTGTGCACATACAAGTGAGTTCATTTCGTAGAATTTGCGGCTAATATCAAACCTGTTTTTCCTCTTTATTCTTGTTGAACTTTTCATATTATGCCTTTCTCCTCTTATTTTCATTTTTTCCTTCTCTAACCATTGAACCACAGGGAGTCCATCCATGTGATAGAAGAAAAAGCATCACCGAGTATCGGCCTGTCTTTCCTGCAATTGATTTTTCTCTGGCAAGTAGCTTTTGTGATCAAGCAGTTATGAACATATGATTCTCATTCATTTTGCTTATATCAGAAATTGTTATAATTTCAAATTCAATATTGTTGATTGGCAGAATTCTTGTTTCAATTTTTCCTTTAGATAGAAAGCAATGAGGATAGTTTGTGGGAAGCTAATATTAGAGAAAAGAATGAAGAAGTTGCAGTCAGAGGAATGAAATTTTTAAATTGGTGAGTGGCCCATTTGTATCTTCTTTACAAAAATTTCCCTTTTTTTCTGATCAGCATAACTATTCAATCCCAGAATGGGCTGGATTATATTTTAACTAAAATTGCACTGTCCTATGACTAGATCATATACTCCTAACCGTTTTTTTCCTTTATCCATTTATCATTTGCGTTGGTGAGTGGCCCATTTGTATCTTCTTTACAAAAATTTCCCTTTTTTTCTGATCAGCATAACTATTCAATCCCTGAAAGGGCTGGATTATATTTTAACTAAAATTGCACTGCCCTATGACTAGATCATATACTCCTAACCGTTTTTTTCCTTTATCCATTTATCATTTGCTGCAGGTTGTGGACACGAAAAGAGAAGGAAATTGCAATTGTTACCCACAGTTCCTTCTTGTATCATACTTTAAGTGCTTTTGGAAGTGATTGTCATCCATCTGTGAAGAGTGAAATATGCAAACAGTGAGTTCTGCAAAATGTCAATTGTTAATTAACCACTATGATGAATTCTTAATTTGGTATTTTTGTTTACATTCATTTCATCTTTCATAACAAGAACAAAGTAAAACTGTTTCTTGATAGATCTAGTTAGCTTTGAAAGTTGAAATTACTGATAACACAAAATCTTGTGTCTGAGGTCCATGAGTTTTCTCTAATTTTGCTCTGTCTACTTCTCCTCTATGTAATGGAGCACAATTATATGCTTGATATGACATCAAGTTGAAGATTTTTTTCCTTCACACAGGGAATCCTTAACTAGTGAAACATAGTTTTATAGGCAGAATTTTTATTTGTAACTAGTATGAATCAGAGTTTGATAAGGGAAAAATATCTATGTAGCTTTTCAGTGGTGATAGCCTACCGTTGCATACTTCTTTTAAAACTTTGGATTTTTACGGACTAATAAGAAAACTTAATATATCTGTTGCAGCTTTGCAAATTGTGAGCTCCGCTCTGTGGTTATTGTTGATAGAAGGTAAGCATGACAATTTAAAACCTTGAAATAAAAGTCATTTGCTTACTTCTGTGCAATTGTGAAAACTTTTCTTTTTTATCGCAGTATGATGGGATCAGATCCTGCAACAACTAACTATCCTGGAAAAATCCCTAGTGGGCCAGATCTTCCAAGTGATGTTGCTGATGAGAAGCTTTCAGAGGCAGGAGAAGGCAAGTAGTTATTAGTCTGGAGAGATGACCAGGCGGGAATCTGAGTTTGATATCCATACTATGATTCTTTACAAATTTACTGAGATAATTGTTACCTTTCAAAGGCAGCACATAGGTACTCAAAAGAAATTTTTATGTACGCTCTCAAGCTATATTATTTGGCAATCTCCGAATTATTCAAGTATGTCAGATAAAAAATGCTTTAAACAGTTAAATGAATTCTTTATAAATGGAAAACATGAATTCCTCCATATTATGATTGTCTTTGAGAGTTTGTTTTTATGTTCATTGTATGACAGCATATAAAACAGATGGATGTTGCCCCATTCTACAAGTCTCTCTATGGTATGTTTTCGGCAGTATCATCAATTTTCTTTTCAGCTGTTGGGTATTATCTAGTGGCTCCCAGCCCTCACGGGCGGTTAAAATGTATAAATGCTGATTTTTGTTTCGGGGAAAAGGATCTCATATCATTAATAGTGAAGGACTGGATTGACTTACCAGCAATCTCCTGTTCTTTTTCTACTGATATGCTTTTTCCTAGAAGACAAAACCTTGAGAGTAGGCTACCAGGCTCTTAAAAACGAATAATACCTTGTGACGGGTATATTTCAACAATTTTTTCATCGGCAATTTTGATTTTTCAAATTGACTTTTATATTGGGGCTCTGAAGGCATTGGAATTTGCTGATCAATGATTCTTATATGCTCAATTTACATGAGAATTTCATCCTAATACATGGGAATGAAAGCTGAAAAAATGGAGGCTAGTCATTCTAAAGTTGATGCAAACTGAATAAAGCCGTCTTTTGAGGACTGCTTAGATAGAGCTGGTGAGAAAACACTTCCTTGTGCATAGCCTGATTAAAAATTGCCACGAGGCTGTCATGTTTCATGCTGTCATCAGTTCTATAATGGACAACGTGCATCAACTTTGGGAGGTTCTTACCTATCTTGGTTTTTTTTTTCTTGGCTCCTGCGTGGGAGTAATTAAAAAAGTATGAAATCAAATTGGAATTGATCCCATTTTTACCTTTTAGTTTATAACATCAAATTTTTATCCAAATTCTCCACCTTCCAACCACTTTAAAGGAATTGCGTATTGACTTTAATTAAATTATAAGTTACCAAGTCTACCTTAATCAAAGGATTTTGGAATAATTAAGTTTAGACTTTTTTATATATGATGTTGTGGAGATTTGAATTTGGATTACTGAAATTAAGATTTCAAGACTGATCATATTTCTTTTAATAATATTTTTGAACAGAAAAAAAAAAGACAATAAATGAAAGAAGAAAGAAGGCACCGTGGTACTGTGGTAGCGTCACGTAATTTGTGTGGATGATGCAAGCTGCGTAGAAGCAAATGTCAGTTAGCTGGCTTGGAAAATCTATCGATAAGGAAAAATTTTAAAATTTCTTCAAACAAAAGAAGGCAAATTTGTCGATTTCAATCTCCGGAAATGTTTTATTGTTTTATAGAATAATAGTCCTGTTAAAGCTCCAAGAATAAAAATCAGCCAACGACCACCGGCAGTTGACCAGTCGACTATCATGCCTTTAAGTTGTTAAAAGCTTTTGAAGTTTCCTTCCCTCAAAATTTCAGCTAAATTCTTTTCCTTCCCTCTCCCCTTCATTTTGCTCTGGTAAACACTATGATGCTTATTGCTTCAGTTTCTGATTTTTCTTATCTTTGAATCATAGACTATACTGTATAAGGTCATGTGGAAATTGCATGCCCTTTGTCAACGTCTGGTTTGATTATTCACAACTTACAAGCTCAGAAAAATAAAAAAAATTTGCTTGTTTAGTTTGCTTTGCTATCTCTCTGAATGCATTTACCAGGGAAATTTCCCCGACCAGTATGGTCTTTTTGGTCGTCAACAAGATCTTGTAGTGACAGATCTTCCAGGGGAAGGCACATTTTTCTTTTAATTTTTATTTGAGACATAAAATTAATGGGTTTAGATTTTCATCCATGAAAAAAGATGATATGGGAAGGCTTGTTTTCTTTCCATGGCAAGCCTGGTCAATTCTGATACACTAAAATATAATATATATATATATATATATATAAATATTTATATATATCTGTGTGTGTATGAGTGTTTTCAACCTTACACAGCTGTGAAGAGAATTAGTATGAGACCGTAACTTGATGGACAAACTTCTAGATTCAAGCGCTTTTTTTTTTGTAGGGTTGTTAGCTTTTAGGTTATCAACAAGGATGGAAGGAAAAAAAAAAAAGAAACATTTTACAATTGTCTGTGAGACTTTGCCGACGGAATGAATAACTTTCAATTAGTAGCTTTGGAGTAGTCTCAAATTCCTTGGAAGTCTCGTGTATATAAGCCAAAAACTTACCTTCCATATATTTATTTATGGTTCTTCTGCCATCCTCTGTTTTTCACATTTGCAGAAATGGATACAATTGCAGCAGTTCCATCTCGATTCCAGTTTGGCTGTCATAAAGTTCTTCATCTGGTTTGTGCCCGTTTGTTCTCTTTTCATTTCTTTTCTTCATTTTGCCCCGTAAAAGAACAAAGTGGGGTTGCGCCGGGGTGGGGGAGGGGGGTGACCGGTGTTTGAATGAAGAAAATCATGCCATCAGAGACTAGAAACCGATTTCGTTTCCCCAACAAACATAAAAGAGTGCTGCTAATTAAGCCAAATTATCTCAAGTTTTAAACAATCTAGCAGCTCTAAACTTGATGGAATCAACAATGATATCTATCAAGTTTCATTTTTATTTTTATTGGTGGTGTTATCTAAAGCAGTTTGTTGAAATATGCACGTGAAAATTCAGGTGAGGCATGCACAAGGAATGCACAATCTAGAATCAGAGAAGAGTCGTGATCCACTAACATCATATGAATTTTCTGACGCTGAACTCTCCTCTCTGGGCTGGCAGCAGGTCATACTTGATAGACAGCTTGCTATTGGAATCCATAACTTAATTTCCTCAGCCTTCTAAATTATTCTTTTGTATCCCCCTCGACTAGAATGTAATTAGGAAATACCAAATATGGCAGTTGCATCATTACATGTCTTTGGATTGTTTTAGATTGTATACTACTCCAGAATGACATCTATAGTAAGTTTTAACAGATTCGTGACCAGTGGAAACAAGTTTGTGCAAGTGGACAGCTCAAGGAGATTGAGGTAGTTATTACTTCCCCTATGTCAAGGTACCAAATTTTCTCATCTTTCAGTTTCTCCCTTGAGTATAATCACCCTGACTTCGTCGGGAAATTAATTTCCTGGTAATATTTCAGTCACTCTCTTCTAAGCCTATCAAGGCTGCTTTTGTAATCAAGCTTCCTCATCTATGCAACCCTCAGACTCTCAAAACTTTGAATCCATGATTCAAGAGTTGATTTGAATGAACTCTCTCAAGCCTAACATATCCTTCAAATGTTCTGTTGTTTTAACCCATTGATGCTTTATTTGCCAAATTTCTTATGTACTTGTTTTGTGATGGTTGAATTGCAGGACACTGCAAACAGCTGTTGGAATTTTTCATGGTGAAGACCAACCAGATCGGTTAGATGTTACATCATTTGAGGATGAAAAAGTAAAGGGTGACGACGAAACATCAACTTTCAATCGCCCACCAATTATAGCATATGAACTTTGTCGAGAACGAATGGTATGTTGCTGACATCTGACCAAAGCATAGCTTAGGCACGGTAACATGCCTTCTGTCGTAGACTTGTGCAACATTTTAACAGCTATAAGCATTCATTATTAAAAGATATCATCGGGGGGTCATTGTTTTATTAATTTTTTTTTCGTTTCCCATAAAATAATCCTGGTATCTACCCTTTAATCAACCAATTGGGCCATGTTGTCTTCTCTCCACATGGAGGATGCACTCTTTGGTTATTACGAAAGAAATTAGAGGGAAGGAAAAAAAAAATTGATGAGGTATAAAAATAAAAGAGGGATATATATATAAGTTTTATTTTTCTCTTATTAGGTATGATGATGAAAATAAAAAAAATAATTATATATAAAATGGTTCACATAAGTTGACTTAAATTCAAAGGAATAGATTTATTTTTAAAAAATACAAATTTTGTTGGGGATTAAAAATTTATCTTGTAAACTGTAAGTGATAAAATATATAAAAAATAAAAATAATACATAAAAACATTAAAGATCTATTTTGATTCATTCTCAATATGAAAGCTATGTTCATTTTTAGAATTATTCTAAATTTTACTATGATAAAGATGAAAAATTACAAAAAAAAAAAAGAATTATTGCTTATTTTTTATATTTTGTACTACTTCTCTGTCTCTATCTTTTTGTTCTCTTACTTCTCACTTCTTTAGTTGATACTTGCACACCAAGTCAAGGCCCATTTTTATTTATGGAGTTTAAGTCCTCTATTAATTAAAACTTCTATTAACTAACTGTTACTTAACTTCTACTAATAATTTACAATTAATAGTGAGAGTTACAACAACCAACTTCTATCTCTAATAATAAATGAAAATTAAATTTGTCTTCATATTTTTTAATAATCTCCCACTTGGAGATTAGTTCATTATCAACTGTCTCCTCCTATAGTAGTTACGACTTCTCGTTCTTCAACAAAAAAGTCCAATTGAAATTGCACATAACTTCAGTTTCTCAATTGTTATAGTCTTTGTTAACATATCAGATGGATTTTGATTGTCTTGAATCTTCTCAAGTACTAAGAATCCATTTTTCTAAAGTTGATCTTATGAAGTGATATCGAACCTGTATATGCTTTGTCCTAACATGATAGACAAGATTTTTTGCTAAATGAATGACACTTTGACTGTCGCAATGTAACACATTTCTATCAAACTTGTGGCCAAGTTCATCCAAGAAAGATTGTAACCATATCATCTGTTTACTAGCCTCTATCACCACAACATATTTTACTTTATTAATAGAAAATGCAACTATATTTTGTAACTTTGAAACCTAACTGCTTGCTATACCACTTAGCTTGTAAACATAGCCAGTAGTACTTTTCTACTGTTTATATTGCTAACCATGTCAGCATCAACAAATCCATACAATCATGAGTCTGATTCATTGAAACATAGAGTTAGATTTGTTGTACCTTTTAGGTATTAGGAATCCACTTAACTACCTCCAATACTATTTTTTCGTATTAATCATATATTTGCTCACAACTCCCATTATATGTGTTATGTTCAATTTGTTACACACCATGGCATACATAATACTGCTAATAGAGAGGCATAAGGCACTTTAGCCATGTAGGTTTTTTCTTGCACTATTATGGGTGATTAATCTTTAGACGATTTGAATAACTAATCAAAGTGTTCACAAATTTTGCTTCATCCATGTTGAATTTGTAAAGCAATTTTTTTATATGTTTTCCTGTGATAGCTATTATAGCGCATAGATATGTAAAGTTATCTCTAGATGTAATTTTAAGGAGTTGTTACTAATATTTTTTGTATAGGTATGATTGGTCACCTAATTGAATTTGTTCTATTTTAAAGAGAAGTCCTAAGTTTAACTTAGCTTAAAACTTTTTTTTAAAATGGGACAGATTTAATTAGGTGACCAATCGTACCTAGATAAAAAAAGTTAGTGGCAACTCTTTTTGTTAAATCTAGTGATAGGTATATAAGATCTATACGTTATGACAATAACTTAAAGACTTTTCTATTTTTGGTGATTCTCATTTCAAAGATTTGTTTTGCAATGCCTAAATCCTTCGTTGAAAATTCCTTTGAGAGCTTTCATTTTCAACCTTTCAATTTTTGGTATGCTTACTTTGACAATCAACATATCATCGACATACAAAAAAAGCATAATGTTAGAGCCATCAAACTTTTTGATATAATAGCAATGATCTATTTGACACCTAAAAAAAACCATTGCTACACATGAAGTTGTCAAACTTCTGATGCCATTGTTTGGAAGTTTATTTCAGATCATATAGGCTCTTTAAAAGTTTGTATATCATTTTTTCTTTTCATTGGACCTCAAAACCTTGTGGCTACTATATGTAGATCTTTTTTTTTAGGTCATAATAAAGAAAAGCTATTTTTTCATCCATTTGTTGTAAATGTAGATTTTCTTTTGCCACTAGCCCAATAATAGTTTTGATTATAGTCAATTTAACCACTAGAGAGAAAATTTTGATGTAGTTAATACCTTCTTTTTATTGAAAGCCTTTTACCACTAGCCTTGCTTTATATCATTTGTTGCTATCATGTTTTTTTTTTATCTAATAAACCCATTTATTTTGCAATACTTTTTTTTCTACCAGTAGTTTTACTAACTGTCATGTTTGGTTTGACATTAATGAATTTATCTCATCTTTCATGGCTAGCTCCTACTTGATTGAATCATCAACTTGTCTTGCTTATTCATAACACTCTAGTTCACCCTTATCAATTAAAAGAATGTAATTCAGCAAGGGAGAAGATCTCTATAGGGTCGATTATCTCTGAAGATCTTCTGAGTTTTACTGCTAGAATGGATTGATTGACATCTATGACTACATTCACTTGTTCTTTTATAGGTGTATCTACTTGTGTTTCTTGAGTATTTTGCCGAAATCACACTTTGAAAAGTCTTTCAAATGAATTACCTCAAGCTTTTTTATTTCAGAATCTGTAGTTTGTAAAACCTTGCTTAGCTTATCTTTGAATAGAATTTACCCATTGAAGATCACATCTCCACTCCTGATAATTTTTTGATTTTGATCATAACAAAAATGATAACCAAACTCAGTGTTTCCATAGCCAATTAAGTTACCTTTTTAAGATTTTAGGTCAAGTTTACTTTTAGCAACATTATCAATATGAACATAGGTAAGACATCTAAACACTTTTAAAAATGAAATTATACCTTTTTGCCATTCCAAACCTTTTTTGGTATTCTGTAATTCAAAGGTACTAAAAGACCTTTGTTAATCAAGAAAGCAGCAGTACTGACTGCATTCACCCAAAATGCTTTAGGTAACCTATCATGAATTCTCATACTTCTTGCACAGTCATTTATTTTTCTATTAATCCATTCGACTACTCTATTTTGTTGAGGTGTCCTCGGAATGATTTTCAATATCTTAATCCCGTTATTGACACAATAACATTTAAAATTACTATCGAAGTGTTCTCCCATATTGTTGGACTTCAAACATTTCAATTTTAGATTTGTTTCATTCTCAACCATGACTTTCCACTATTTAAATGCATCAAACATATCGGATTTATTCTTCAAAAAATAAACATATACCTTCATGGTTGAGTGATAAATAAATGTTACATAGTAGCTGAATCTTCTAAGAGAAGTAACTGATGAAGGCTCTCATATGTTAGAATGGACCAACTTTATTTTTTTCTGTTTCAACTCCCTTCTAGCTTTTGAAAAGCTAACTCTTTTTTTTTTTTCCAAAAATGCAACTTTCACATAATTGATGTTCAATAGATTTTAATCTAGGAAGCTTTTCTTTCAACGTGAGTATCTTCATGCCTTTCTTGTTCATATGCCAGAGCTTGAAATGCTAGAAGTTGGAGTTTGCATTAGCATTAGTTGTCGCCATTGTATCTCTACAACTTAAGGTCGTATAAAGAGTCCATGTTTTGCTTCCTCGAGTAATAACCATAGCACATTTTGTGACTTTTCATGTATTATCTATGAATGTTACATTATGCCCTTCATTGTCAAGTTGCCTTACCGAGATTAAGTTACGCATCAACTTTGATACATACCTCACATTTAAAATGTTCCACGCAAATCCGTTTAGGATCTTCAAACAAATGTCACCCATACTAACAATATCCAAAGGTTCTTTATCAGCTAGATAAACTTTTCCATAGTTTTTGACAATATAAGTTTCCATCATGTCGTATGAGCAATAGTATGAAAAGATGCTCTAAAGTTTAAAACCTAAAAGTTAACTAAGCTATCGATAGATAAGAGCAATGCATCATTCTTCTCTTTAGTGATTGCATTTGCAACATCTTTTTCGTTTTCTTTTTTTTTTTCTTTTAGGTCCAACATTATTTCTTTGTGTAACCCATTCTCACTTAGGAAATATTAGGGTCTATTTGGATTTCACTGAACACCTAGTGAGGTTTCGATTGTTATGAAAAATTGCCAAACACATCGAAAAGATCCAAATGAAGTAGCCCGATGGTGCATTTGATCACAATAAGCCACTGGCCAATTTTGCTCCAGTTGCTTCATCACACTGAGGCTATTAACTTTCTTTTTTTTTCCTTTTTTATCTTTAAATTTTAGTTATAAAAACAAAAATATCCTTACAAATTATAAAATAATATATAAATAAGTAAAATGTATTAATATATAATAAATAAATAAATAAATTTTAATTATTTATTATTAAAACTATTATTTGATATAAAATGATTTAATAATTTTATAAATTTAAAATATTTATTACATAAACATTTTAATTTAATATCCTTAATGGTAATTTCTCTTCTTACTATAATTCATTTAATCACCACCGCTACGTTTGTATTTAAATACATATTTTTATTATTGATTTTAATCTCACCGTTATAATAACTAATCTTACCTTCACTATTATTTTTAATCTTATCAAAGTCAATCTCACTGTCTATTCAAATAGACCTTTAGAGGGGTCATAATTACTCTTGTTTAAGAACTAATCTCTTTAGACAGAACTCTTAGAATTGTATTTATCCACACTGTTAAATTTTCGTATACGTAAACAATGTTGTTTACATAAAAAGTACCGTATACTCAAATAGTGCCACATTTGACAAAATTTTAGTCTTGTAGCTTTAATACCAGTTGTTGGGATTACAAGCATATCTTGCAAACTGAAAGTGATAAAATATGTAAAGAATAAAAAACATTGCATAAAAATACCAAAGATTTATAATGATTCACTTTTAGTATGAGAGTTATGTCCACATTTAGAACTGATGTAGAAATTTTACTATGATGAGATGAATTATCTCTTATTTTCTATATTTTGCGCTAACTCTCTAATTGTTTGTATATCTTCTTTCTCTTACTTTTCACTTTCTCACTTGATACTTACACACTAAAACAGAAGCTAAGACCTCTTTTTATAGATGGAGTTTAAACTCTTTGTTAATTACAACTTCTATCAACTAACCGTCACCTAACTCCTAATAACAATTTATAATTAATGGTAAGGGTTATTACAACCAACTTTCATCTTCAATAATAAATGAAAGTTGAATTTGTTTCCACATCTTCTAATAAATTCATCTATATTTCTTTTTTCGTATTTTTTTTCCATAAAAAAGAAAAAAAGTAAAAGAAAGAAACGCAAATTTTCATCCCTTTCCTTTTTTTTTTTTTTCCCTCTGATCAAATATATATAAAGAGTTATTGAGTTTAGAAAGCTTATGTTTTTTTTCTCACATCTAATGTTCAATTTAATGTAGGGAAAATATGAATGTGACAGGAGAGGAACCATCAGTCAGTACCGTTCTCGTTTCCCCGAAGTTGATTTTTCATTGGCAAGTAGTAATTTAGTCATGGTTGCATTTCCGTTGGTCTTAAAATTGCTTGCTATCCCTTGATTACTTGTTTCATTAACATTAATTAATTTAACACTAAACTATTGTTCAGATCGAGAATGAAGATGACATTTTGTGGAAAGCAGATGAAAGAGAAACCCATGAAGAAGTCATGGCTAGGGCAATGAAGTTTATCAAATGGTGAGTTTTAAAATTTTCTATTGTATATAAATTTCGGTGCCAATTGTCACATTGTATAATAATAATAATAATAATTGTTAAAATTTAGATTATCACAAGTAATTGATTTTGAAATCTAAATACGATTAATGAGTGCTTATAATTACTTATTAAGATTAGTTGAAATCTTATTTTAAAAATATATATTATTTTTTAATGCATTATTTTTTTCAAATTCAAAAATATAAAAGATGCATTAATTACAAAAAAAATCTATAAATATCATCTTAATAAGTGTGATTTGGACTTCTTGATCATTTTTTTTTCTTTTTTGGAAGTTTCTTGACATTTCTCCTGATTTCATGAAAGCAAAAAGCACTTTGATCAACTTGTTTAATTAATCTTGTAGGTTGTGGGAACGGCAAGAAAAGGAGATAGCAGTGGTGAGTCATGGTGTGTTTTTGGATCAGACGATGATTGAACTTTTTAAAAATAATAAGTGTTCCCCCTTAAATGATTATGATCCACACAGCCGGTCAGTATCATATTTTTCTCTTTTTTTTTTTTGTTGACTGAATGCTACCTCAGTACACCTCAAGAATTTGACTCATGAACCTCTTAATCTGCTGATATATGCCTAAGTTATCCACACGTTATTGTGTATTCTTTTTCATATGTTAGGTAAGAAAGGGATTTATCAAGCTTTTTTATTTTTATTTTTTCCCTACTTATGATCTTTTATATTTAAAATAGATCATATATCTAGTTTATTCACAATTTTTATAATATTAAATGATATCTTTGAATTTAAATTTTAGTTCAATTGATTTATATAATTATATTTAATAATTTTAAATTTTAAATTTTAACCTATACAATTTATTTTTCTATATTCTCATATTCTAATCTCTGTTGTAGAAAAAAATGACCAAGTAGGCCTTTCTTATTCATGAAGAGTTGTATTGGCAAGAAAAATGATTCCGATGATGACTAACTCATCATAGAATTACAATTTGTCCTATTATTTAGCAAATATTAGGACTACCCTTAACATTGTTCCAGCCTCTAGTATATACTTGATTATTGTCTTTGGCCCATGTATTTGAAAAGATCATGTGACTTTATACGTAAAATTTAAAGTTCTATGGATTTGAAAAATATTTTTGTATTGACACGATGGGTTCTACCATTTAGTTGCTTTCAATGTTTTATTTTTAATTAATGACTGATCAAAATGAATCTGTTTGTCCAGCTTTAGAAATTGTGAAATCCGTTCGGTGAAAGTTTTTAATGAAAGGTGAGCATATATTTAGCGATTCGAAAGGAACAAAAAAAAAAAAAAAGGCAAAGGCATTTATGCTCATTCTCAATTATCATTTCCTTTATTTTTTATTTTTTAATTCTCATTTCGCAGCGTAATGGGATTGGGATCAGATTCCTTTAGCAACCATTGTGGAAGAATAAGAATCCCTTATGGACTTGAAGTAGTCCAAATCAGAGATTCTACCAAGGACAATGTTTCAGTGGAGGAACTGGAGGTGACCAACTAATCAAAAAATTAGTTCATCTGGCATTGGGTGCTTGATTTTCCAGATTGAACAGCCGCTGTTAGATCATAGCAAGGTGCTTTTCGAAGAATCTTGGTTTATCATCGGACTTTTCTTTCATTTGAAAAATCAAGATTTGAATTTGGTTACTGAAATTAATAATTCAATACTTTATTAATAAATTATTCGACTGTTGGTAATAGATATTTTTTTATTCACCTTCGTATCATAAACATTTTAAAAATAAAATTAAAAAAAATCTTGTGAGAATTAATTAAGATAGCTACTGCATGCAAAAGTTGCAAAGAACGCCACACAAGGTCGGCTTATTACTTTACATTGGACGGCCTTTGGTCGGTAATTTTTTGTTGTTTTTTTAACTTGATTACGGCCGACTAATTGCCATCGCCCGTCGCTGTTGTGTTTCTCCGCCGTTAAAGGCTCGCTTTCTATTATAGTAATAATTTATATATTGAATTTTGGACTTACCGAAAGGTCAATTACTTACATTTGTCTTCTCGAGGCACTCGTTTTATAAAATTAGTTCATTGGAAAATTTGGACGTTTGTTCGGTAACGTTGTCCATCTCATAACAATATATAATTAATATCTATAGGCGCATGATATTTAATTTTAATAATTTCAAACTATTACTGATAAAATTGATTGAGTTGATAAGATTGAATTTTTTATTTATAAATTTAATATAAATTTTTGTTAAGATTTACGGCGCATGTTATTTTAAATTGAGATAACATCTTTTCATCTAAATTTTTATATATAAAAATAAACTTAAACCCTTGGAAATCTATTGAATTACCTAAGACGATCTTCAAGCACTACTTGATCTAAAATTTGCTCACAAGTTAGACACAAAAACCTTAAGCGTTAATATTTATCTCATTGATGTAAATGATTAACAATGGAACATGTCTAATATAAAGTAAACTCCCATGATTTGGTTCCACCTACATTTGTCGACTCCTTGCATGCTAGAGCAACAAATTGATCAACTCCACCCGGCCCCAACATCAATTAACCTGTCGTATGAGGGGAAGCTTTCGAAGGCTACGGGTGAATACCGGCACTAAAAATCTAGGGCTCCACTCTCAAGGACGGAGCTTGAATGCGTGCCCCACCAAAGCTGTTGCACGAGGAATAATTTTTATATAGCGCATATAAGAATAATGCCATCAATTTGGCAAAATGATGACTATGGAAACTTAGTCAGCTGACACGAGAGATACTACAAAAAGATTTTTTTTTTTTTTTTGGTTGCTATGGATCATTAGTCAAGCCGTCTTGCAATTTTAATTAGGTTTTGTGGCAGACGGTGGAGAATGACTAAGACTTAACATAGAAATTTCTTGTAGCTTTGTTGGTTTTGGGGACAAAAGTTTCCAATGTTGACCAACATGACTTGGAGCCACTTTGGCATTGCGTTTCAGTGCACATTTTTCGTTACTTTTAGGTATTTGATTCGAATTTGTTTAATTTTTATGGTATCATAATTTATTTTTTAAAAAAACATAAGTTACAGTTTGAATATCATTTTTTAAAAGTGATTATATAAATTTAAATGATTACAGATATTAAAATTTAAATATTATATTTATTGAATATCATTTTTTAAAAGTGATTATATAAATTAATTAAATTAAATTTTACTTTCAATAGTTGAATCTTTTTAATTATTTGTTTAAATTTAATATTATTATATAAATATATATATAATTAAATAAGTATTATATCATTTAAATATTTAAATCCGTTAAAATATATGTTTACTTAATTTTTTTGTCAAAATATAAAATAAAAAAGAATTAAATTTAAAATTTAAATTTACTCTTAATTAATAACAAATAAAAATTATTTGCTATGGTTCTAATCTTTTCACAAGTATAAAATTTTATATATTTTACATATTTAAACGGATAACAAATTTTGATATTTGATATTATCCGTTAAAAAATTTAAACAAATTCAGATATCAAATAACTAGAGATTACTATCTAAAAAATATTAAAATTTATTACAAATAATAAATTTGCTATCCAAATTCATTAATTAATTATTTATAACTATTTGAATTGGACATAATCAAATCAAATGGCATCGAATAACCATTTTTATTTTATCCATTATCATCTTTGCTTTTCGGACCAAACGCAATACCAAAAGTGACATCGTTGGGGTCCAAAAGAGCTTTAACACGTAGGTTTATCACTCAAAAACAAAGTCTTTTCGATAAGTGGTTTTGTCATTCCAACCATCATTTGAGATGAAATGATCAAACGACTATTCAAGTGATAAAATTAATAATTAACTTCAGATATCATATCTTTTTAAATAGTTTAATTTTTTATAATACATTTCACAATAATATCAAATGCTCGAAAATTTCAAATCACAACTTTTCACAATACTTTCTCGAAATTATTTTTCAAACACAAATTTTATTCAATCACAATAACACAAGCAAATTAGTCCTTTAACTGTATGTCCATATTTAATCCAACTGTCATCCTAGTCTTATCCAGTGGATGTGATGGGCTTAAAACAAGGTTGGGTAGTTGGGCTTCATCCAAAAGTAAAGCCCCCTAAATCATATTAAATTCATGAACAGTTTAGAACAGTGAAGGGCCCAAATATTTGTTTAGTTTTAGACGGTTTTACCTTATATTAGGCCCATATTAATTAGTGGGACAAGAATTAATATTACTTTCCTCCTTCCACAGTTTGCACTTTGAAGCACCACTTTGGAATTAAGTAAAACTCATTTTGGCCCAATTGAATGAAACCCAATTCAGAAATTGAGGAATCGAACGTGCATATTGGTCTCGTTACTTGACTTTTTCTTTTTTATCAATCATATGAAATATTATATTATAATATATATAAAAATATAATAAAATTTGTTTACACAGACACATAGATAAATAATTTATATTTTTGACACATAAGATGGTTTTAAATAACTTTATTTAATTAATTATTTAATTTTAAAAAAATTTAAAGTTTCATGATTTACATTTGTTCAAATCTTTCAAAGTATATAAGTTTTATCCTAATTTAAATTTGAAAAAATATATTTTATAAATCAATCTTATCCATATATATGAAATACAAAATTCAAAAAATTTCTAAATCTTACGAATCATAAAAAATGATACATTGTGTAAATCAATATTTATATAAATTTAAATAAATAAAATTTATGGTTGAACCATTGTTTTTTGTCTTTATTTTCATATGATTTTTTTAAAACATTATTTTTCTATAATTTAAAATAAAAGAAAAAGATATTTTATATTTTTCTATAATTAAAAATAAAAAATATTTTATTTCAATTTAAAATTACACACATATCTAAATTTAAGACTTTATTAATCTCTTTTATCTTAATTTAAAATTAAACTTAGATAAACTACTTTTTTAAAAGTTTAAATTTTTTAAAATTAAATAATTATCAAATATATATTTATGATACCTTTTCAAAATTAATATTTTCTTCTTTATAAAATATAGAACAATTAGATTTTCCTCACAAAAGTTTGGCATGATAAAATTTCAAAATCAAACATGAAAAAATATTTCATGATATATCATATGTGTAAATTTTAGTTTTTATACCTAAAAAAATATACTTTTAAAAATATATGTAATTATAAATAAGAGATTGATTTTCTCAATGAAATTTGTATGTAATTTTATTTTTGTAATTCAAAGCTTTCATAATACTTATTTTAATTATTTCACAATAATTTATATATGGATGGCTGTTATAATTTTAAAATATAAATTATAGATGACTAAGAATATTTTTATTTATCTATATATAATATAAAAAATAGTATGAACTAAAATTTTAAATTATGAAAATTCCATGGCATGGGTAAAAAAACTAGTTCATCTATAATTAAACATATTTTAAGCAAATAATATAAATAATTTCTTTCTTTAATAGTAAAAAAAAATAGTAATCCTGATTTAATTAACAACTTTTAAGTAAATATTTTATATCTTTTTAAATTATTAATTATGAATTTATATTAATTAAATTATTTTTTAATTGAAGTTTTTTTTTTTTCTTTCTTTTCTTTTTCTATCACATGAACGAAGCTACTAATTCCTGAAGCTGTCCACGCAGGGATTTTCTCCATTGGGCTTTTCCTTTGCTTGCATATTGCGCTATATGTAGCACAGCCCAACTAGATCGATTGACTTGGTCATCATTATTGGTAACATTTATGTGTGTGTACGCATGCTTTACGTAAAACAAAAGTCAGCAATTATATGGGCTTGAACTTTGAATACCCAATTAACTGCCTCTTAACAAAAGGTTTTGTAGGGTCACTCTTGTTGAAATATTCTTTATTGATTGCCTTCCATGTTTTTTTTTTTTTATGATTGCCTCCATGCCTACAGAGAAAACTTTACTTTTTCAGTTTGTGTTTCTTTTATATTCTTTTTTTTTTTTTAATTATTTTTTCTTTACTTTGTTTGGTTAATTCTATAATATCTCTACAAGGGAAAGCAACACATGTTTACTTCAGTCTCCAGCCATTGTCTCTTAATTGCAAGCAACCTCCACTGCCTTTTGTATAATATATATATATATATTATATATATATAAAGGAATTCACTGTAAATGTTACATTTTTTTATCTTTTGATCAAAATTATTAAAATTAAAAATATGATTTTTATTCAAATTAATCATGAATTTAACTTTGATAGAATGATAAAAAAAATATAAAACTTACGTTAAGTCTTCCTATATATATATATAAATATATATATGAACATAGAACACTCATATGAAATTCTTAATTTAGTTAATTCATAGAATTATCTTTAAAAAATTTAAAGTTTAACACTTACAAATTTTTTTTATTTTTAAATTACAGTCTCCTTTATAAAAAAATAAAACATTTATATGAAAATGGGTTTTGGTAAACAACTGCTTACCCATAAATTTGGGGTCAAGTGATTATTTTAAGAAAAATATTATTTTATTTAATGTATTTAGTCATTCAAATTTAGTAGTTAAAAACAAAAAATAAATTAAAAAAAAAAGTGAAATACGTGACTTAATCTAGTTTATAGAATTAAAAAATTATAGTCACGGCATAAAAAATGAACGTACAAATGTTTAATACAATTATTAATTACATAATTAAGGTAGATATACCTAGTGTTTGACTGTTTCCTAGGTTCTAATAGAGCAAATAGGGATTTGGTCTCGCCGAGTAAATTGCAATGGCATTTTAAAAGAAAAAGCTAGGAAAAAAAAAGGAAGGAAAAAAAAGAAAAAAAGAAAGAAAAACCGTACCGATGAAGACCATGGTGAAGACTTTTGAGTCGCGCGTAAAGAATAAGGGTTCACACAAAACACAGAGAGTCTAACGTCTAAAGGATCCCCTATTTACGTTTGCATGGATTGAATAATATTACCAAGAATTAATCAAATCAAAGTAAACCCATTAACCCCCTACATCCACATTACTTTTCTTTCCTGTTTCACTCTATATATTTTAAGCCCTCTAACCCGCCCTGGGCGTTATGCCAAGTTTTCAAGGTTTCAAAAGCCTTCTTCGGGTCCCAAAGTCTCTAGTTTCCCTTGATTTCTTTCTTTTCTTTTCCCTCAGTTTTCTGGTAAGTCAGGCTAAGACTTGCAGTTGCATGCAATGATATTCATATGATTATAAATATATGTATATTCTTTGAGGGTTTTCTACGAAATGTGTAGGAATTTGAATGGTATTGTAGTATTTGTTTCTACGAAATATTGGGCTTTCTCGCTGTTTCCTCCTTAGATTCCATCCATTTTCCTTCCTCTTTACTGACGACCGAATATGCTCTTACAATTCTGTTATAATTACATTTTCAAGTAGGAGTCACGTACGTAGAGATTATGAACCATCCTAGAAAATACTGACCAGAAAGTCTCTTACTCTCCCTATATATGTATGTTGTAGCCTGCAGCGTTTTATGCATTCACTTCCTCCCATTACAATTTCTCATTTCTAGCCAGCCATTTGTGTCTTTTACCAACACCCATATCTTTTTCTGCTCCATTATTTCCCATCTTTTTGTAATTTACAAGCACTTCTATCACTTAAATTTAATTTCCATTTGCAGAAAATGAATACCACTGCAGCTCAATTTCCATACCCATGGCAGCGTTGCAAAATTATTCACTTGGTATGTATATGTAGCAATACCAATTCTTTTAATATTATAATTAAGTGCCTTGTTTGGTAGAGTATTTATTGGAACACATGATCTAAACCATGGATTATAATATTTTCAGGTGAGGCATGGACAAGCTATGCATAATGTGGAAGGAGACAAGAATCGCGAGGCACTGTTGTCTCCTCACCTATTTGATGCACAACTCTCCCCACTTGGCTTGCAGCAGGTAATGAACTAGTGATTAATGGCTTGTTATCATCAATCTGTCATGACCTCATCATGATCCTTCTAAACCTGAATGATTGATCCGCATCTATTTTTTGATGTGATACAATCGTGTTTAATTATCTTTTCCATTTTTTATTGTAGGTTGCTAAACTGCGCAATGATGTTCATGCTAGTGGGCTGCTTAGGAGGATTGAGTTAGTCGTCACTTCCCCGTTGTACAGGTATAAAACTGATCGATTCTTGCCCTAATCTCAACTTCCTTCTTCAGGGCTTATTTTGTGAGATTAGTTGTTTTTATGATGTTCCATCCCAAACTCAATAGGATCTTTGGATCTATGTCTCTGAAAAGGAAATCAAAGCAATATTTTACGTTGCTAAATCACGATTGCTTGATGGTGTAATGATCACTGCGCAGGACCATGCAAACTGCTATTGGAGTTTTTGGTAGTGAAAGCCATGAAGATGGAGGGAATGAAAATTTTTCTGTAATATCAGCTCTCAACTGCCCCCAAATTATGGCAGTTGAGCTTTGCCGAGACCGCCTGGTATGGCTTCGACCTATCATGTTACGCTTTCTTAACCTTTTATTAATTGCCTGAAACCCTAATTCCAACCACGTTTGGACTTCCATAACATTGATGCATTTCCTTCACTGCAGGGCGTTCGTCCTTGTGATATGAGGAGAAGGGTCAGCGAGTGTCAGGCTCTTTTCCCTTCAATTGATTTTTCGATGGCAAGTTCTTCAGCCCCAATCTATATTTAAACAAGATTTTTCATAAGAATTAAGAACAGAATTTTTATGTACCTTTTGATATTTTGATCTTTGTTCAGATGGATGGTGAACATGACAATATGTGGAATCCGGACGTTCGAGAGCCTGAGGAGGAAGTTGCTGCACGGATGGTCCAGTTTATGAAATGGTAACTCACAATTTTCTTCGGAAACAATCAGAAATAGATCTTAGGGCTGCAATATTTTTTTCTTGGGAAAACAAAATTAAGCTCTAGTTTATTACATTACTAATTCAACTTTCTTTCAATTTTTATCCCATGTTCCTGCAGGCTGTGGACAAGGCCAGAGCAGGAGATTGTTATTGTGAGCCATGGCATAATCCTTCAACATATACTAAATGTACTTGGAAATGACTGTCATCCAACAGTTAGATCAAATTTATGCAAACGGTAAGCCTTAATTCTCCTTGTTCTTCTCTCCTTTAGACAAAACTTGAATAAAGATTCTTTGGCTTGAAATTTTCAAAGTTTCTTGTGGAAGTCTCTGATATAAACTGTGTTTTCAGCTTTGGTAATTGTGAGCTTCGTTCGGTGGTCATAGTGGATAAAAGGTAAGCATTTTGTTGTCAAATTTAGAGATATTCAGAGTTTAGACAACCTTGTACCCTTAATTTCAAAAGCTCACTTACCGTTTTGAACATGCAGTCTAATAGGAGCAGATTCACAGCTTTGCTCACCAAGAGATGTTGCAAAAGAGAACGTGTTGAGAAAGGAAGTCTCCAGCTAATTGGACTCAGTGACTCTTCAAACAATAGAGTCACCGTTTAACTCTCCAGGATTTTTTCATATTTTTTTTTATCAAATTTGTATTCTTTTCTTTTTCATTTCTGAAAGTATAATTTGACCAATAGAAGTCTGTTTCCATTGTAAAATAATTCATTGATAACATATTGTTATTTATTCTTCATACAAATAAATATGTACACTTCCTTTCCCGTTGCCTGTTGGCCAAACTTTGTAACTGATTGGAATAATTCATGGACAATAAACATTTCTTTTTTTGTTTTCCTATCTTTGTCTCTGTTGAAAATGGAACAAAATGACTCAAACAAATATTATCAAATCCTTAACACCAAGTTACCAACCACTTAAAACTAGCAACAACATTTTTTATTAGGACAAAAGAAAGAAAACTCAAATGGACATTTTCTCATCTTAATACAATAGCCATTTCTTTCAAACGAGTCCACATTGTGAGAACAAATTTTTCTTTTATTTATTTTTTTTTTTTTAATTTTGACAACAATTCGAAACTTAAATCGAACACTACTTGATATGATTCCCAGAATACTCCATATTAGTATGAGTTCCTGACAAGCATGTAACCTACTAAAACCGAGAGGAGGAGGACGAAAACAGCAGGGATGAAGTTGACATAGGGTGCCTTGATAGTTTTCTGGCTATTTTCTGTGCTGGTAATTTCTCCACCCTTTTCTTGTGAAGGGCTAGGTGGTGAAGAGGAGGGGAGGACTACATCCCAGAAAGATCTAGTGATCACTCTGAGGGCTTCTTCTTCAGGTTCCAAGATTGTTGAGGCATCATTTGGAACTTCCATGGACATCAACTCAACACAATGATCTTTTACAACCTACCAGAGCATGAAAGCACCCGATCAGAATGATCTCCAAACAAATGAAAATTTTGCTTATTGGACAAATACTTCAATTCTCGAAGATTGCACACAAAAATATATTATCCAACAATTTAACTCGATCTCTCAGAGCAAGGTGAGAGAGAGAAAAAGAGTATTTGAGAGGGGGGGGGGTAGCAACATGAATTAGGGGGTCAAGAACTCAGCTTCTAATGTTTTGTTGGGAGAAAACAGAAAATCATTTCTTTTGCTCATCAAATGTTTATTGAGTTATTATTATAAAAAGATAATGTAAAGAAATAATAATAGAAGACAAACCTCGAGCGTCTCAGATGATTGTAGATGGTCACAGATAAATAAACCCGCCAACCAAGGAACAAAGACCCTCCGAGGTAATGAAAAATTGCAAATTTTCCTGTTTCAAATTGTTTAGCATGCATTAGATATCATCAGTGTTGCAAAAAGAATAAGGGTATTATATATAAATTATCATTCTTTCAACTTGTTAATGTAAAAGAAGACTGAATTAACAGGCCATCTATTAGGTCCTAGCTTGAAAATGGAGGAAAGAAAATAGGCATAAAGCAATTGAACATAGGAAACAATTAAGCATGAATACATAATTTGGAAGTTGCTTGTGCACGTGGTAAATACCTTACATTTCTGCATATATAATCATTCAATAAATAACACAGCCACAACATAGTTGAAAATCTCAAATTCAGTAGCATGAAGCCATAATAATAACAATGCACAGTATTTCAGTGGATAAGAGCCTATAACAGGGATCTAAACAACAGATACATCATTTGTCAAATGGATTGATAGAGAAAAGAGAAAATTAGCAATTGATAGACTGAGACAGAAAAGAAACATTCCAACCTTAGTTAGGTTATTTTTAAAAAGAAACATTCCAATCTTAGTTAGGTTCTTTTTAATAATAAAATAAAGATGCACCTCAAAGAACACAAAACAAGTTGGGAAATTGGCTTTTCAGATGATGAGTCATCGCTTGCTTCCCTAATTCCATCATCAGGTGGCCCTAGATCTTCATCTGCTTCATCACAAATGATATCCAACCTGTTTTGCAAACTCCTGATGATGTCATCCTGATCACAGCCATTCAATTGCACAAGACAAAAATATCAAACCCATGTCGCTTAAGATAATAAGACCGTTACTTTTTCGTGGATTGAGAACATATAAATAACCTTTGAACATTAGCATTTCAAGAAGTTCTCATGGCAATGTTTAATAATTACAAAAAGGTTGTCTGAGAAATTAGGCAGTTATATATATGAAATGAAACTGCACCTAAAAAAAGAGAAGGGGAAGAAAAAAAAATGCTAGGTGCTTATTTAAAGCGTACCAAAAGAACTATATGTCAAATAAGATAAAATAATACACTACATGAAAAAATTGCACCATATTTTACGGCAATGTCTGTCTTTTGACGTGCAAGAGAATGTAGAAACCTAGAATCTCAAGACATATTTGTAATGAAATAAAATCAGATAATTCCATATACTGAACCCAAATTTTCTGTTCCACACACATCCATTTAAATGAACATTTGAAAACATACTTAACTTGGTCATCCACACACATTTTCCCTAGAGATGCAACATCTAATCCCATTTATTTCTCAGGACACGAATTTCCAACACTTGAAAGTTGAAATATCAAAACAAGATCAAGTTATCATCTAAATCGAGAAACAAAGTCCAAATTAGAAGTAATAGGGTACCTTTATATCAGTAACAGCTTGTGAAATTGGTTCCTTGGAATTCAAGAATGAAAAGGAACATACAGAGCCACTAAATTTGACAACACCTATAACATCTTTCTGGCTGCATGCTTCACAAAATATAAACAAATTACTAAATGTTAGAAATAATAATTTAACAATGTTGAAAACGTAATTAAGTTCTTGAAAAGGCCAGAGCACCTTCAATATAGATATCCTTCATGAATGGTAGAAGCAATTCAACTTCGTGCAAACCATCCGTTATGCATGTCTCATCATTAACAACCTAAACATATACATATGGCTGGAACAATTACTAGTTGAAAGGTGAAGAATTTATTTAAAACGTAACGATATTATTCCATAAAAATAGAACATTAACAAATAAGATGCTTGGGAATGCAAGGGCAGATTAGAGTGGTTCTCACCAGGTTTCCATCAATCATGGCTTTTGCAACTTGCAGCTCTTTTGCATAAATTGAAATTCCATTACTGAGAACATCACTAAACGTCTCAGATTTTGATATTTTTTCTTGATATATTGGCAGTCTGGGAAACATAACTTCGTTAATGAGAAATGACTACAAACATTGTTTTGATCCTAGAATTAGTCAGCTGAAGAATGTCAACAAATGCGTCAAGAGAACCAATAATGTGAACAAGAAAGTAAGTTGAAATTTAAGTCTTGTTATATGGTAGCTTTATTTTTTAGCCAAAAGGACAATAAAGAAGTCGTGACCAAGCTTGGAAAAGTATATGGCAAAGGAAGTGGAGAGAACTCCACTTGGACATATGGACAAGTTCACCTGGTATTCTCAACCCAAATAATAGAACTTTGTGATGGTAAAGAAGTTCCATTAAGATAAAGTAGAGGAATAGATAATACAAGTTACCTAAGATCAAAGTTGTACAAGCACTTAAAAGTTTGAAGGGAATTTAAGACCCTTCCCATTTTGAAGTCACAAGGCCGCAAGCTGCTTGATGTGATATTTGAGGACAATGTACAATTTCGACATGTCCATCTACAAAAAAAATTAAAAATTTTCAGGTCAAATTGCAAATGAACTTAATAATTGAAGAAAGCAAAACATCTATAACTAAAAATGATTATGGAACTAAAATCTTATCAAATACCTCCTTGGACTATAACATATGTGAATAAGCAATCTTTCATCAAGGCCATCCCCCAAAAAGGATGCTGCTTCTGCAACTCCTTTCACAGTCTGCAAAAACCAATCCATTTATTCCGGATCATAAATTGGTGGGGAAAAAAAAACTTCAATACAATTTTCAAAAAATGAAAACATGCCAAACTTTTAACAAAATGAAGCAAAGGTAAAATAAAAGTACCTGGCAAAGCACCATGGTAGAATTCTTGAACGCGGCCTCACTAGCCCACACATAAATACCTACTACTTTGATTCCACCCACCATCATTCTTGACACCTTGATTCAACAACATTTACGTAATTTAAGTAAGAAAAAAAAAAAAAACACATTCAATTCACTAATTCAAAGTAAAAAACAAAGGAAATTTACTTGGCGAGCATGTTCAGCGACCCAATCCTTGTCAATGACCAAAGAGGAAGAATCGGATGTCTGAGATTTGGGTTTCGAACCCTTTTTCCTATTGTCTTTAGCTGGCTCCAAAATCGAACAAGCTGGTTGTCCAGCATCGTTTTGAGGAGTGGGTACTAAATCGAACACGAAGCCTCGGTCGAGAGTGGAGCTGAGTTTCCCTATCACCAGACCAACCTGCGCGTATAACCGGACAAAGAGGAATTACTATTAAATTAAGAATTTATTCTCTGCAATTTTTATTTCAAAAAGAAAATGGATTGGACCTGGGCGGGAATTGAAGATTGGGCGAGACGATCCTCGGCTAGCTGGAGTTGTGTTTCCTCTCCAACCACGGCTTTCACCATGATTTCAAGTAAACAACAGATCGAACTACTTCGGATTCAAGTGCTGCTCCAGAAAGACGTTACAACGAGAAGAAATCAATAAATCAATAGGAAAACGGCGCCTCGTGTCGTGCCGACTTCAATGGACATGGGTTTTGCAGTTGCAGATTTGGGTCGTCCTTCGCTTGATTTAATGACTAGGGAATGGGAGGGATTCTTGTTACATTTGGGCTTTATATGGCCTGTTTATCTCTCTCATTTGCCAAATCCAATTTTTAGATTTTACAAATTTAAATTAAAATATTGTCAGATAAGTTTTAGTTATTATATTAATTTAAACCCTTTTTCCTTTTTAATTTTTTGAGTAAATTAATATTTTTATATTACTTTTTTATTTTAAAAATAATTTTTCACTATAAAAATAATCTTTTTTTAATCTCTTTATTTTTTAATCAAATGTAAATATATTAAAAAACTAAAAAATAAAATTTAAAAATCAAAAGAAATAAACAGATCCAAATAAGTGAATTCAATTCGATTCAAAATGATTGATCCGTTTGAATTCAAATAAAAAAATATATTATACAATCAAATATTTCATAAAAAAAAAAAAAGTCAAACCGAACATCATCCTCTAATACAGATTGCCATGAAATGAGTTACCAGCTCGTTCAAACACAATCATAAATAATTAATAAATAAATAAACAAAATTAACTGTTTGATTCTTTCTTTATATTTTACGAGAGAATCTCGACCTCTGCAGTAGAAAGAATAAATTAAAAATCAGATTTGTCATCTAATCAATGCTATTATTGTCTTCCATTAAAAAACCAGTTCGGTTTCTTTGATCAAATTCCTCCAGTTAAAAAAGAAAAAAAAAAAACCTCTTGAGAATGGGACCGTGTATCCGCTGCTTCGTTCTTTTCTTTTTTTTCTTTCAACATTTTGGACCTTTCTCCAAATGCAAACGTTCAAAAGGATTGTGGCTAACATTATTAAAGTTGTTGGTATATAATTTTTTTTTTCGAATTTGAGTTAGGACTTTTTGGGACGTTTGAGGAGCTTTTGCCTAAAGTGGTATATTTTAAAATTTTTATTCCTTAATAAGACTTGTTTCAAATTTATTTCCTCAAGTAAAGCAATCTAAATAACATTATTTTCATGTCATTTTTTATATAAATAAATATAAATTAAAAAAAACCTTCCATACCAATAAAAATCATCTGTAAAAAATTTACAAATTAAGAAAAAAAAATCCAAACCCCAGTTGCTAAGCCCTCTTCTTCGACCTCCAAAAAGCAGATGCCAAGGATGGGCCCTCCTTTGTGACTCCTTCGGCCTCTTTTTTGGTGGTTAAATAGGAAAAAATCTATTCCGACCCTTCGCTGCAAGAGAGGTTTTTTCAATTTAAGAGGGGAGACGTGTGCAGTTTCAATGCTTCGAACTAGTAACTTGTCCAGGCTTAGAGGTTCAAGTTGTGGTGGCGGCGATGATGGTGACGATGATAGAGAAAATCGGGTTTTGAAAAGAAAGTGGATTGAATCAGAGGTTGTTGCATGAAGATATTTTTGGTAAAAAGTATCCACCATTTGAATTCCGAGCGATTGACAATCAAGTTGAGCTTTCAATAAAAGAGCATGATATGTTCATTGGTACTGTGCTGACATCTTTGGAAATTGAAGATTTGATTTGCTGCAATTTATGCCTCTGCCTTCCCACTTGGCAAGATCTTTAGTACAAGTGCAAATGCACAGTCATTATTGGATAATGCTGGGAATCAGAATTTTGAAAGTGATATTAATTTGTCCCCAAGTGAAGGAGATGATCAATTTTATTAAGCACTTAAAAATTTTGTTGAGTGCAGAACACCCATGTCAGAGAATAACCTTTATAAATTTTTTTATAAAAATTTAATTATATTTACGAATTATTTAAATTAGATATTAAATATTTTAATTTGATTTGATAAATAAATTAAATTATTTATATTTAAATTTAATTTAATAATAATAAAATTTAATTTAAATTTTATTATAATTAAATTTAAATAATTTATAAATATTAATATATCATTTATATTCTTACTTAACACACGAGTGATACTCAATATACGACTGATGAAAGCAAAGTGTTAGTTGGTAGGTTTGGCCCATCAATTAGTTAACAAATAATGACAAAATTTGTTGATAAGAATCCAAAATAGAGGACCACACACTATGATGGTGCAGCAATTCTATCTAAACAATTAATTTGCCTTTTTTTTTTTTTCAATGAAACTCTATCAATATAAAGATATGTAACAATAAATATACAAAGGTTCAAATAATAATAATAATAGATGTTGAATTCGAGCAATAATGATTCTTTATAAACTTTATTTATTTTTTGCATAAACTATGTTTTAATTTAAAAATAATACAAAAATTATACGTATTAATATTTAAATTTTAAATATAAATTTCATATTTTAAAAATAATTAAAAATATATTTATCTATAAAGTAAATAAAGAAATTACACATTTACTCTTAATTTTAATTTGAAATAGAACAACCTATTTTACAATTGAATCTTTTCCAATAAGAACGGACAACGGATTAGACAATTAATTAACAACAATAGGTAGAAAGAAACCATAGTTTGAAACTGTAGTGTTTTGCTTTCTTGATATAATAAATGTAAATGAAATAAAAATTAATTCCTATTTATATAAGAGAAATTCTGAGAATATTTATATTCTTCAAAATATCTATACAATCAACGCGACCAGCCTCGTCTACACGAAATTATAGTAAGCCGAGAAGTGAGTAGGATAAAAGTACAAAAGTGCTTCAAAGTCATTTCCCTTTGATAATGACTTATCATCTGCCTACCATTACCCCTTACAAATTTAAAACCTTCAAAATCTTATGCTTTCTTAAACTATGGTAATTTCCACGAATTTAAACTGTAACGCTCTTCTCACTCCATTTTTTTTCCCATTTTTTCTCCATGTTTGGTAGCTTTAGATTTTATCTATTCCATTTCCCATGGCCCCAGCGAAGCAATGACTTCACTCATGGTTAGTGGCAGACCAAAAGCGAATCATTCCGCTGCTCTCAAATTCTTTCTCCGACAAAACAATTGAAGGATCACTCGAGGGAAAAAAAATAGATTTTAAACTTTGCACGGTCTCCGCAGCTGATTTCATCCGCCCACCGATTTAGTCATGTCTCTATTTTCCAAACAAAAACAACAGTCGCAGTGTTACGAGATTCATTAACTTTACCAAATTTAATATTTAAAGGATAAACAAAATTACTGAGTTTTAAATTAACGAGACTTCAATTTAGGATTTTAAAATTTTAATTCAAGTATTACTGTACATAATTTTAATTGTTTAATTAAATTATAGTTATTTAGTTAAGGATCAACAAAAATTAATTACTTAATATTTTGTTTATAAGATTTAAATTTGATTTTTATTATTAATAATTTTTTAAATAAATAATTTATGAATTTAATATAAATTTCATTAAAATTTGTTATATGTTTTGATCTTGAGATCTGCAGGATATTTTAATCGTGAAATAAAATAATTTTTTATCAAACTTGTACGTATAAAAAATAAATCTTTTATATAAAAAATTCATAGTACTTTTTCCCCTTTTGACGAGCTTATAATTACTAATTTTATTGAACTTTTTAAGGGAAAACCATTAACTCCACCAAACATTTGCTTATCAAACAGCTCCACCTGGGTCCACCATCCGCGCATCGTCATAACCAAACCTCAATTCTCAGCCGTTTTTCGTTCTTTCGATGGAACCGTAAGGCTAACCCCTCTCGAAGAAAAAAAACCTCTGAAAAATTCCCCAATGGAAAATTTCTCCTACTCTTCTTATCCGGATTCCGGCGACTCTTCGCCTCGTTCTCGAGAAATTGACTGCGAAAACCATTCATGGGACGAGCCTCCATCAACTAATACTAATAATTATAAGGTTAAGTTTATGTGCAGTTATGGGGGCAAAATCCAGCCGCGTTCGCACGATAACCAACTCGCTTATGTCGGTGGAGATACGAAGATCCTGGCCGTTGATCGCAATATCAAGTTCTCTGCTATCATGGCTAAGTTATCTTCTCTTTACGGTGGCGATTCTGAGGTTTGTTTCAAGTACCAACTTCCTGGTGAGGATCTCGACGCTTTGATTTCCGTTAGCAATGATGAAGATCTCGGGCACATGATGTTAGAATACGACCGGTTGCATCGTGCCTCTGCGAAACCGGCTAGGTTGAGGCTGTTTTTGTTCCAGTCGAATCCATCGTTGTTGGCATCGGGATTTCGTGGGAGTGAAGTTAAGTCGGAAAGGCAATGGTTTGTTGACGCCTTGAATTCGGTGCAGATTCAGGATCTTGATGGTTCTTCGCCTCCAGCTGCGGCTGTGCGGGCCGCGAATCCCGATTTCCTCTTTGGTTTGGATAAGGTGAAGTTGCCAGATTCAGTCCCTTCCCCGGTGGCGGCGGTTGTTCAAGAGGTGGTTGCGAAGGATGTGACGGCAGGATCGGACTGCGGATCGGAGGACCGGCACGTGATTGCAGACCCGATGGTGTCTCCGGCGGATATCCAGAGGCAGATCCAGGAATTACAGAGGATGCATATTGCTGCTACTCAAGAGCAAGGCATTTTACAAAGAAAAATCGATGAATCAAATCCTAGAGCTTACAATACTCAAGATTATTATAAAATGTCAGATAAAATCGCCACGTCACCGGCTCCAGGATCAGCTCCGTTACAAATGCCGATTCCAACAGCCTATTTGCCGGAGCGGCATTTAACTACCGCTGCTTATCCAGTACCCACAGCCACAGCAGCAGCCCTAGGAACTGACCTGCCGCCGGTTTACCTAATTCCGGTTCCCACAGCTGGAGTTTATCAACAGCCTCCTACATTGCGGCAAGTGACCATACCAGCTGGTCAACCTTACTACGGGGTACAGCGGGTGGTTCAGGATGTTTACCGAGAGCAGCCGGTTTACAATGCGGTGCCAACCACAAAGGTTGGGGCTTACCCTGAGGGAGTCTCATTCATGCAACCGAAGGGTGGCGTTCCTGAGTCAGGCTATGTACAGGTGGCTTATGATGGGGCAGGAAGGCAGATGTATTACACGGCAGCGCCATACCAGGCAATGGCACCGATGGCGGCGGCGACGGGTGATGTTGCAGCGTTAAATCAGGATGGTAAGGTTGCAGTGAATGCTAAGGTTCCTCCCCAAACTCCTTCTGTTTGATTTTAATAAAATATATGATATTATTGTTTTGTTTATTAAGTATAAATATATATAATATAGTAATAGTACTCTGGCTTTTATAGGTTTTGGTGAACTTTTGATGTCTTATGGAACCTTTTTAAATTTATTTCACTATTAATTTTTTTGGGTGGTGTTACTGTTTCCTTTGACAATGTTTGATGTGTATAAGAAAATGGATTTTGGTAATTACTGTAAACATTTCTTTACTCCAATGTTGTCTGGCTTTTTGGGAGAGAATTGCTGGTGGTGGTGGTGGATATTGTCCTTTTTATGATTGTTGACCTTGTGGTGTATTTGGGTGCCGTATTTTTGTCCATTGCTTTAAGCATTCTAGTCAAGTTACCAGACAGGAGCATCAAAGCTGATTTTGCTTTTTCTTCGGTGTAACCTCTTTCACCCATTGCTGCAATTTCTACACTTTTTACCCTTCTAGAATGAAATGATAGCAGGGGCCCACAAGCACATTCGAAATGCCATTGTGTGGTTTTTTTAGCATTTTATCTACAAATTTTTTCCTATCGCTTGTAAAGATGGATTCAAAAATTAATGAATTTTATATGATTCTGAATTGTGATTAATAGACTCGAATGCAATTATTGTAAAGTAATATATATTTTTTAACTTTTATCCTAAAATTTATCCCACCCAAGGCGTTGATATGCACATTTGAAATGCTAGTTGGTAACTCAGCAGAAATGACTGAGTTGCATTTTATATAGAGGAAATGAGCTGAAAAAAAGCTCAGAAGTTATTTTGAATACAAATGCAGAATGATAAAGGACAAACAAAATGGAGAAGTTTCATTTGAGACTTTTTAGCTTGAGTCTTGTGCATCAGTTAACAACTTCCTTCTCTATTCTTTTTTCTACTTTCACAAGTTATGTCTGGCAACGAAACACAGCGTCGGAGTAAAGGTGTGCATTTATTAGAGTATTTAATACAAATGTTTGTAACAGGTAATAGTGAATGTCTAATTTCGAGCATTTTTTGTCCTTCGTGACGTAATCAATTCCTGCACAACGCACCGCCTCCCGACCTGCACAAAGCACCACCAGTCAAACAGCCCCCTCCGCAGCTAACTCCATATTTTCCTCCAAAACTACCTCCGCAGCCACCACCACCACCACCCCCACTCGCACAACGGCTACTCTTAACCAGATCTTCGTGGCCATAATTGCTACGACACATTACTCCATATGAAGAGTCCTTACTTCCAACACCAATGGCTTCAGCTTCACTGTCAGACACTCCGACTTTTCCAGTAACAACTGTCACCTTTTCCATTGTGCTAAGCTGGTTAACACTTTCTTCTTCATTATTGGAGCTTTTCCGATAGTTTTCCAAATCGCCATCCATTTCTCTTAAATTCTCTAAAATGGTAGTAATACCACCGCTGCCCTCCTTGCTTAAACTTTCAGAAAGTAGAAAAGCCAATACAATCATGGGTAGTAAAAGCTAATACAATCATGGGTAGTACCAGCGATTCTTCATTGATCTGTTTGCGAAAATTAAAATTCAGTGATAATTAAGGGAAATTATATGATTGAGAATTGAAGCTTGTTTCAGCCCAAGTTGCTGATATACCCCTATAATGCCAGACTTAAAGTTGAGCAAAGCTACCGCTTTTCCATAAGGATCTTCCATAGAGAACTCTACAGCTGTCATGAAATGCTGTTCATTTTTCTGCTTCTTGCCGTCGTTAATTTCATACCCTAGTTTTCTTCCTCGAAAAACAATCACCTGAAGCCAGAATATACAGATAAAATTTACGCATTTTTAGATGAAGAAACTAATCCCATGCTTACCTGAGATTTGATAATTCTAGCATAATGCCTTGGGTATTTCCAAAGCCATCGCCTTCTGCAATAACTACTAAAAAGAACCTAGTCCTTACAATATAAGTAAAGCCAATGGAGGTTTAGATACTCACCTTTCGGTTTCCTTTAAACCCAAATGCATGGCCATTTTCATTAAATTTCTTTGAACATGAGACCACCAATGGGAGTTCATCAAAAACCATCCTGTTCCAGCAGACTCTGGAAGCACATGTGTTTCACCAAATGGGGTCACACCAATCGCTTCCTTTCTGGACTGGCAATTGTTTCTTGCCTCTTCTTTCAAAGAATCCCTGGGACGTATTAGAAAACAGGCAAATAGTTGAATACGGGAATCCATCATAGCTCAAGATAGGTATTGCCTCTGCATAAATTATACTACTACAAATGAAAAAAAATTTCTGTTGTTCCGGAGAAACTCGTAGTGGTCAAAGATTGTGAGTCATGTACCTAATCTGCATGCTGATTACATCATGATCAGCCTCATCCCTGAAGGAAGAACTTTTGAAATGCTGATACGTTGCAGGGACAAGAGGGAAGCATGAATTAGAGAATGGACGCGTTTGAACCATGTGCAGCATGTAGGGTGCTGGGATTGGAGGAGTGAAAGAGAAAGCGATTCGTAGGCTAACAGGTTTGGAATCAGCCGGAACAGAATTTGACAGCAGATCAAACCATTTTTCTGAGGAAAGTTGAGAATCTGAGTTTACTAGGTCCTTCAGAGTGATTGAAGCAGTTCCCAATTTTCTAACAGGTCTAGTTATGGCTGGCCTAGAAGGTGTAGATGACATTAGTTCGAGGACGAGATGCCCTCTGGGTACACATTGGAAAACAGCTACTTGTTTCTCCCTGGTGTCAGACAAAATGCTTAAGCTTCTTTTCATGTTTAAAAATGTTTCTCGTTTTTTCTTGCTAATTGTGACAAAGAGGCTTCCTTTATGTCCGTGAGGTAGATCTTTGACTCCCACAATCTCTAGCATAATCTGAAAAACAGAAAAAAAAAAAAAAAAAGGCCAAAAAATCCGAACAATGAAATCCAACTGCATTTAGAGGCGACGAGACGCCTATCAGGGTCCTTCAAGGGTTACAACTTTTCTATTAGAAGTTGTTGGAAAAAATATTTGAGGCTACCTCCACAATTATTTTCCTGCGAAGTTGGATAATGTCTTGGTTTTCATTGGATAGAGCTATCTTTTCCTTCAGATTACCGAATTGAGACAAGTTGATTGCGAGTGGAGATGGGGCATTGCCTCTGTACATTGATCCTGCCATCCAATACCTTGATCCAAATGTGTCTTCCCACTGTTTGGTGGTTTCGATAAACCCATCGTCCAGCTTGGTACCCTTGGTTCCATCAGAATCTGTGTCATCATGCTCTAATATATTTCCCAAAGTTGCCTCTAGATCTTTGCAGTAAGAAACAGGCTGCAATTGTTGAGAGTGCCAGATGAGGTCGATGTCATAGGTTGGAACACACAAACATCTCGCAGATTTTTCCCAATTCCTCTGGATCAAATGCAGAAAACCCTTGTATCTGGCTACAGCTCCTTCAAGAAAGACAGCATCATTCATGTGGGATCTGGATACCTGTTCCATATATTGTTGCCAACCTTACTGGTAAAGCGAGAGATTAAAAACTAAGCCAAATGCAGCAATCAGTTCTATAATTGTTCAAGTTAGTATTTTGACCAATTCCTCAAAATTTTAGCAATCATTGTGCTAATAACAATCAATTTGGATAGAGCCTTTTGAAACTCGAACATCCTCCAATTTGGATAAATTTCCTATTTACCCGATAAAAGAAAGAACGTTGCCTCTTGACAGCTGAAATTAATCATACTCGGTGGTCTTTGAAGCTTTTAGGAAATTTTCAGCATTCGCCGGAGAATGGATACTCATATTGAGTTCGTATGGCTCATTAGAATACATCCTCTTCCAAATTTCTTCAGTGTGCTTTTTCCAAGTTGCTCTAGTTGAGGATATGACATTCCGGTTTTCAAGAATTCGCCCATAGAGTTCCCCACAATCAGTCTTGTAGCGCACCTGACAAGACAACAGATACCAATTGGTAAACTCCGCTGTGACAAATCCTGAAGCAAACAGAAATATAAGCAATGTTGCATTTATATTCATGGTTGCAAAGTTTTAAAAAGTTTACCGGATTGAGCCTATGACAACGCCAAATCCATTCACAGTCAAGTAGCACAACCGAAGGGCCTTCCAAAACCAATGACTCAGCATGTATGGCAAGCAGAGGAAGCCGACAATATTTGTACCTAAACTTGGAAATGATAGTCATTAAAGAAGAAATTTCTGGCTAAAATTTCATTGTTGTAGCAAAAATCAAAGGAATGAAAATCATTGGAGGCAAGAAATGAACTTATTAGAATGCTCACCTGTAATGGCCTGTCTAAGGCAGGGCCATCGTAGAGGCCGCTATTCCTATCAACCTCAGCAAGAAATCTTAGTTGTTGCTTGGTTGCCGCCACAAGATCCACGCTTATGGCAAGCCTTTGTGCCTCTGCCCATTCTGATTCTTGATGCTTCTCCATTCTAAACATAAGAAAGATTTAGCTTCAAAATCAACTTGGCTTTGATGATATATTTATGGTCCAAATTAAAGTTCAAAAGTGGAGCTTAAATGGCTAATTTGCTGACTTGAATGTGATTGAAATCACTGAGGAAGCCATAACAAACATAATGCCTGCATAGGGCATTTCCTCGGAATTAAGACAGTTTTGAAGGGAATTCAGGTCATGCATACAAGCAGGTTCCCTGCACGGTTTGGCTGCAACAATTTCCTTGATTATATCTTCATTTATTTGTTGTGAAATATGAGAAGCTGGCTGGAAACGGTAAAGATCATAGAATCTGATATAATCCAATTTGAAGTTTCAAATCTCTCTGGAGCTAGCTAATGCCTTAGGAAGTCCAAGCTGAACACTTTTACTTACCCTTCATTCATTATTGTTTAAACCAGTTTCTTGTACTACAAATGTTTTCACCCCATGCCTATATTCTGCTATGTTTGCGAGGGAAAAGCCCCAAACACAACCAGCATTTCTATTGTATTTTTTGTGTTTATTTAATTTAAGTTACAAATTACTCTTTTAAAGAAATATATGCATTATTTGTTTACAATAACAAAACTTTTGTACATTTTTATTAAACATCAATTTTAAAATAATTTTTACCAAGTTTCCACTCTTTTCCCATGATCAGAATCATAGTTGAAAACAAGCACTTGGGAGACATTCCTCTCCACATATAAATTATCTTTACCTCACTTAATAACAGGATGTTGTTAGGCATCAGATTTACACCTTAAAAACAAATAAATAAACTTGTGGCTGATGTTTCACAACCGTTCCTCTTCACAAACACTTACAGATTAAAGTCTACGATGCAATAATGCTGTTCTCCATTCTCTGTCTTCCCGCTAAAGTTACCTATATATCTACCCATCATTCTTTCCAGAAGGAGCAGGACTTGAAGGTGGGACAAAATTAAAAATTCTGAAGAATCCTGTGAATTTGAGATGACTCCTCCAGGCTGCAGCCATTATCCAAACGCCTAATGCTTTCTCAACAGATTAGGCTTTTATGTCCAATAGTTTTTTATTTTTTTGCTGGGTTAAGTCATAACTGGAGAAAAATAATCATAGGAGCAGAAATCCATATATAGGAATCGGAGGGCATGCCTAATCACATTATTTTGTTTTACTCCTTATCTCTAATCACTTTTACCAATCATGTATAGCTGCATATAACGAGAGTTAGCAAATATTGCCAGCACAAAGACAAAAGACTTTCCTCTTTTGGTATTCAAAAGGTTCCTATCTCCCACAAGGCAGTTGAATGAAATTATGTAATAAAATATGTTGTGTTAAGAGTTAGAATTTTGAATGAAAATACAGTAATTATCTAGAAGATGGAAATAGAATTCTAAAAAAAAAAAAAGAATGAATGATGGAAATGAAATTTCTATTTATAGAATTTATTTTCCAAAAAAGAAAAAGAGTAGTCCAATAGGTGACCTGTCACCAACCATCCCAGAAAACAGTAGTCAAAGATAATTGACGACGGCCAGTAAACAAATTTCTAAAATGTCTAAAACTAAAATTTACCCTCCACCATTTTTCCTTCGTTTTCCGCAGAATTCATTTTCTCTTCTCAAAAATCTAAATTCAAAACCCTTCTCTGCTTTTTTTTTTTTTTTTCCTTTTTCTCCTGCTTTTTAGTACTGTAAAACTCTGGGATTATTTATTAGTATTAGGGATTTGAAAATTCCAAAATGCTAAAAGCTTTGCACTAACGCTATGATTAAGCTGTAGTCGAATATATCTGCTACCGAAAGCTCTTTGCTTTGTTTTTTATATTTTTTTCTCTTTGTTTGGTGAGAGAGAAAGTGGAATGCTAAGACTGGGAAAATTGGAAGAAAATTAGCGATGGTGGTGAGAAAAGTAGGGAAGTATGAGATTGGAAGAACAATCGGAGAAGGAACCTTCGCCAAGGTTAAGTTCGCGCAAAACACGGAGACCGGCGAAAGTGTTGCCATGAAAGTCCTCGATCGCAGCACCATAATCAAGCACAAAATGGTCGATCAGGTCAAATTTCCACCTTTGCTATTTTACTGACATGAAATTTCAGTAATTTTATGACAAAGTTGTTGAATTTATGATAAAAGAGTAGTTTTTTTAATCTTCTTTTTATGTATTTTTACTGAATTAAAGGTGAATTTGATAAATTTTAATGGCTTCAATTATAGTCATAATTATCAGTTCTAATAATTAATCTTTAGTATGATTTGAAAGTTTGAATTCCTATTCAAGTTAATCACGAGTTTTATTTTCCTTTTATGTTTATTAATCAATGCAGATCAAAAGGGAGATATCTATAATGAAGCTTGTTAGACATCCCTATGTTGTTCGTTTGCACGAGGCAAGTAATGTAGTAGTATTATTAGAGTATTATATTTCGTATTTCGCATGGTTGGTTTGTTTCTAAGAAGATAAGTTTTTGATTTGTTAGGTCATAGCAAGTCGAACAAAGATTTATATAATCTTGGAGTTCATTACTGGTGGTGAGTTGTTTGATAAAATAGTAAGTATCCCAAAACAGGATCTAATTTTGGTTGTATTATTGGGTTTCTGTTTTTCCATGCGTGTTAAAGGCGGATGGTAAATTGGTAATCATGCAGATTCATAATGGTCGTCTTAGTGAAGCAGAAGCTAGAAGATACTTCCAACAGCTTATTGATGGTGTGGAATATTGCCATAGTAAGGGAGTCTACCACAGAGATTTGAAGGTGTTCTTTTTGTTAGCATCCAGAGTGTAATTTTTCTTTGTTCAGTTTCGTAAATTCTGATGATTGTTTGCTTCTGTTTACAGCCTGAAAATCTTTTACTTGATTCCCTAGGAAATTTAAAGATTTCAGATTTTGGTCTTAGTGCATTGCCGGAACAAGTAAGACATTAAGTGAAGAGTTTACTTCTCTTTTTGCTTCCTCCCTTGACAATAAAATAGGTTGATGGAAGTATAATGACATGGGTTGTTGTTTGGTGATATGTATGTTTAGGGAGTTAGCCTCCTCCGCACAACATGTGGGACTCCTAACTATGTGGCACCAGAGGTAATCATAAGATTAGTAAGCTTTTTGGTTGAATATACCTTAATTTAATGGTTTATTTTGTGCTATTGCCATGCTTCGTAAATCAATATTTCATTTCTGTTATAGGTTCTCAGTCACAAAGGGTATGATGGTGCTGTGGCAGATGTTTGGTCTTGTGGGGTCATCCTTTATGTTTTGATGGCAGGTTATCTTCCATTTGATGAGCTTGATCTCACCACCCTGTACAGTAAGGTATGAACTTTTATCGTGTGTACTAGGATATGATTATTGTGTTTATCTACCCTTCTGGATTGATGACATATATGCCAAAAAAGGAGTAAATTTCACCTCTAGTCGCTAAACCACCACCAAAATACCAAATGGGTCACATCTTTTATTTGTACCAATGAAGTCACTTAGGTTTGTAAAATGTATAAAATTTAGTCACCCTAACTGATTTCATTTAATGTATGGATGGAAAAATGACATAGCTGCCATGTAAGCAACTAAGATGCCGTGGAAGCTTTTTAATTTAAATAAATTACCACATAAGCTTTTCTTCCTTTTCACCAAACCCTAAGTTTCCTCACTTTTCTCAACTTTGCAGCATGGTGTCCTCCTAACAGGGCCCTAAAGCAAAACAAATTTGTAATCCTCCTAAATCCACCGCCACACTCCCACTTTCACTTTTCTTCTCGGTTCCTCTCCTCACTGACACACTCCCACGTTCTTTTTCTTCTTTCTTCCTCTCCTGACCGCCACACTCTCCACATTTCTTTTTCTTTTCTTTATGCAGAATTGGATCTTTCAAAAACCCTTCATCAAGTTGCAGATTTAGAGCTTAGGGCCTCTGCCGCCGCCTTTGAAAATGCCATTTCCATCGCCATTAAAGACCAAGCAAAACTATAAAAATATTTCCTCTAACTTTCCTTTTATTACCACCTAAAATCCAAAGTCAACAAAAAAATGAAGTCAGCAGTCCACCTGCATCTTCACTACAATCGCTCGATTGCCTCTTTTCCACCTTTCAAGATGCATGAAACCACCAACAACTTCCTACGACCAAAATCAGAAACCATTTTTTTATATGTTTATTGTGGTTTGTGATTGCTTCATTTTCTAGGAATTGTTTATCTTTTAAGTTGTTGTGGTGGTTGTGGGAGATAATGCTGCTGTTTTTAGTGGTGATGGCGATAGTTTTGGGGCTACAACTGTGATGGTTGTGGGAGGCTTAAGTTTGTGGGATTGTGAGGATTTGACCATGCTTGATTTTGGTCTTTGTGATGGTTAATGATAATTAGGTTGGGTTATTGGAGTACCTCTGGTGCTAGCAATGGTGTGCCTGATCTGGGAATTAATAGTGGTGGCCAAAAATATCTAAGAATTAGTAGTGAGCTTACAAAAGACAGGGAATAACAGTGTCAAAAAATTGACATGGCTGCTTACAATGGCAGCTGTATCATTTTCCTGTAAAACATTGTATGAAATCTGATAGGGTGATTATATGTGATATATTTTACAAACTTGAGTGACTTTATTGGTACAAATTAAAGAAGAGTGACTTGTATGGGATTGTGGTGATAGTTTAATGACGAGGTGAAATTTTCTTGCCAAAAAACTTTAAATTCGATGAAAGAATAAACTTTTTATTTTGACATTATCGGTGCTGCATAACTGTTTTTTGTTTTTACAATTTTTTTTTTCAATCTGCAGATTGAGAGAGCAGAGTTTTCTTGCCCTTCTTGGTTTCCTGTAGGAGCAAAATCCTTGATTCATAGAATTCTAGACCCAAATCCTCAAACTGTAAGTACTTGTCGTCTAACAACTCTCTGTGCTGCATGAATAAGGCCGTAGAAACTGATGTTTTGATGTTTTGATGCTAATCTGTAGAAGTTACATAAAATAATGCAGCCTTGTGAACCACAAGAATGCTATCAGCTTTTTTTTTGGCTTAAAGGAGCCATTATCTATTTGGTGCTAGGTTTCCTGATAGCCCTCTCGCAGACCATCATAAAGACATCCTTTATGCTATGTGTTCTATATACTATATGGATTGCCTTGACTCTTACCTTACATAACTTATACCCAGTGCAACCATGAAGGGTTCTGTCTCACAATTTGCAACTAAGTGCACTGGTACCTATCACTATATGGTATTCCTATTGTTTAAATGTTTCAGTAAATTTAATAATGGTCTCAGTATAGTTTTTGTTTCTGCTTGATTGTAAGAAATCTCTTTCTCTCATTTTGTAAAGCGTATTACAATTGAAGAAATCAGGAGCGATGAGTGGTTTAAGAAAGGCTATGTTCCTGTCAGACTTCTTGAGTATGAAGATATTAACTTGGATGATGTAAATGCTGTTTTTGATGATCCAGAGGTTGATAAGGTATTTAAAAGCTTGAATTTGATTAAATTTGTTGTAAAAGTATAACTTTGGTTTTCCAATAAATAACGTAAAACAAGTTTCCTCATGTGTATCTAAATTGGGTTTATTTGTTTGAATACATTGTTGTGATTTTTCTAACTCTCATTCTTATAATATACTGTAGGAAGAGAGGGGTAACGAGCCATCAGGAAATGAGGATATGCGTCCTTTGATTCTTAATGCATTTGACTTGATCATTCTTTCTCAAGGCTTGAACCTTGCAACGCTTTTTGACCGTGGGAAGGTAGAGTTCGGTAATAAAATGTTTATATGCACTCCTAACTCTGCTAGCCAGTTTTTGAAGGATTATGTGCATTAAGGTTTTTCAACCCAACCAAATGTTTAGAAAAGCCGTTCTTTGCTTTTTGATGTCTAATGCTATGTATTTATGAGCATTAGTTTCACCTGACAGTCATCTCAGGAAATCATATAGGGCAATTTCTGGATATGTTTCCATGAGCCATGAGGCAGTCCAATATATGTTCTTTTTTTCCGTAAAATATTAAGCTACATGAATGCATTCCCCTTGCTATCAGGACTCCATGAAGTATCAGACGCGATTTGTTTCACAGAAGCCAGCAAGGGTTGTTCTGTCTAGCATGGAAGTTGTTGCTCAATCAATGGGCTATAAGACACACATTCGCAATTATAAGGTAGAACATTCAGCCTGCTGGCCATTTGTTTTATCAGATTTTGTTATTTAATTCAATTTACATTTAGCTAGTTCGCAGTGCTAGTACTAAACAAGTTTCTCTTGTTTCTCAGAACTGTTTCATTCTCCCTGTTTACCAATTATTTCATTACTTTGACTGGAGAATAATCTTGCTCATACTATTTCCATAGTCAGCTAAACTCTGATTATGTGTTAATTTTTCAGATGAGAGTTGAAGGTCTTTCAGCAAATAAGGCTTCTCATTTTTCAGTTATCCTCGAAGTAAGTTTTTGTCCTCAACTCATGCTGAATTCCAGATCAGCCTTTAATTTTAATCTACTAATTTCCATTTTCCTTTCTCCCTCCAATTGTTATCGGTTTGAAGGTTTTCGAGGTTGCTCCCACCTTTTTGATGGTAGATATTCAAAAAGCAGCTGGTGATGCTGGAGATTTCCTGAAGGTTAGTTACCTTGTTTCAATCACAATCAAGTTTGTTTGGTCAGGTAATCTGCTTCTGACATTCTTTCTTGATATGGTTTCTGGGGATAACCTTCCAGCCTTCCCTCGATGCCCAACCCTCTTGAACCTAATCTCTTTCAGACTCTCAGTTATCTTTAGTTTTTGGATTCTGACATAAACAACACATCATTGTCTCACAGTTTTACAAGACATTTTGTAGCAACCTCGAGGATATCATATGGAAACCACCTAATGAATCAAGCAAATCGAAGATCACCAAATCTAAAAGGCGTTGATCTGTTGTCCCATAACATTGCTGCCATTATTTTGAGACGTCAACCTTGAGGTTAACGTTACTGTTACGGCTCATCTAACTGGGGTCTACTTCCCCGAATAGAAATAGGAAACTAATTAGTATTTGTTTCTTACCTTTTTGTACGGATAGTGTTTATAAAGCTCTCTTTATTTTGATCTAAATATATACTAAAATGTTGTATGTTGTAATCATGCGAGATATCGAATAACACTTACAGTTATCGACATTTAAATCTGTTCAGTTATAGACCTTTATAAATTGTTCAAGACCTAATTTGATCAGTTCACGTAAACTGATTTAAATTATTTAAATTTAAATTTATTATTAAATATTAAAAATTATTTTAATATTTTAAAATAAAAATTAAAAAAATAATGGTTTAATAATGAAATATTTACACTTTCCGAGCTTGATAGTTGACCTTGAAAATTTTGCTCCGAGCCGCATGAGAAAAACTGCAAGTTAATGTCGACAGTAATGACCGACAATCACAATAATTTTTTGAAAATTTTACTCTACACTCTTAAATTCTCTTTCTATATGGTTGAAAAGAACGTAAACTCTTTCAAATTCAGAACTTGTCAATTCTAATATTATGTCAATTGATCTAAAAATTAGTCAAACAAACGCATAATCGAATGAAGGTGATAGAGAGGTAGAGCATTTGTGTATCTCAATTGGCTTAGAGACTATAGAGAAGCAGGCTAATGCAGAAGGTGGAGTAAGAATGGTGGAAGATAAGTTACCCACAAAAAGAATTTGCATGAAATGTTTTTATACTTTAAGCTTAGAAAAGTAGGGAAAAAAATGATGTGAACCTGCTTTCTCATCAAAGTAAACCACCATAATCCCCACATGAACACTTCCCATTGACAAATTTATGGAGCCACTTGCTATCTCGAATGATGATTTCCCTTGCATTCATTGAAGAGATGGCCTTCATAAAGTTATGGCAACCCCTGCACATGCTAATGTTCTTGATAATTCGTATTGGTGCAGCGTCTGGCATGTTCAATAGGCCAAATGCAGCAGCCAACTTTTCGCTATGTTGAACGGTGGAGGAGAACGCCTTTTCCTCGTCATCAAGTGAGTCAAAACTTTCAAGTGATTCACATCCAAGAAGACTGTTCGCTTTATTAAGTAATTCATCCAACAATTCATACACCTCAGCCCCATACGCTTGCCTCTCATCGGGTTTGAATGAATAAACCTTGTCTTTAGTGCTAATCCAACTCCAATCCATTAACTTTCCAAGTCTCTTTTCCTTCATCAGTTCTCTCACTTTAGAAACATCCTCCCATCTTTCTGCAGACTTGAACATACTCAACAGCAAGATATAAGTCTCAGCATCTTTTGGCTGGAGTTCAAGTAACTTTTCAGCAGCATAAAATCCCAATTCAGCATTTCCATGTCTTTTGCATCCTGTAAGCAAGAGGGACCATATAAACTCATTTGGAGGAAAATCCATCTTCTTGATTATATCAAAAGCTTCATCTAACCGCCCCAACCTCACAAACATGTCAATTAGGAACGTGTAATGGTCCATAACAGGTCTGATTTTATAATCTTTTTGCATCATCTCAAAATATCCGAGTGCTTCTTCTACCATTCCAGCATGGCAACAAGCCGATAAAACGCCAACAAAAGTGATCTGGTTTGGTCTGACTCCTGTCTGTCTCATATCCTCGAAGAGCTGCAGTGCTTGCTGAGTCTGTCCATTCTGTGCAAAAGCAGTAATCATAGAAGTCCATGATATCAATGTTCTGGCAGACATCTCCAAAAAAGCTTTGCTTGCTCTCTCGATGCTTCCGCATTTATTATACATATTAACAAGTGCAGTTCCCACTATCATATCTGACAGATACCCAGTTTTAAGTGTCTCAGCATGAATTTGTTCCCCTTGTTCTAAGGCCAACATCTTACTACATACAGTTAAAATACTTGAGAAGGTATATAGATCAGGTTTGAAGCCGGAGTTATTCAATTTTGAAAAAATGTCGAGTGCCTCAGTTCCATTATGATAGGCTGATAGACCATCCTTTGCAAGTTCCATCATTTCACCATAGCCTGCAATCATTGAATTCATTGTAACCAAGCTCATGTCTTCCATGCCATTGAACAATTGCTGTGCTTCACTAAACCACCCACATTTCAGATACAAATACATGATGGAATTCTTTATGCGGAGGTTTGATTCATACCCAAGCTTAATGCTTAAACAATGAACCTGTGCCCCTACGCTCGAAGATAGCACTGTACAACACATGCTCAAAACACTAGTCAAAGTGAACTCATTAGGCTCAACATTGTTACCAAGCATCTTAGTGAAGAATCTCAGTCCCCTTGAAGCTCTACTATTATCTCCACAAGCTGAAAGAACAGTAGTCCATGAAATTACATTCTTTTCCTCAATCTTTAGAAAGGCCTTAATAGCAGAATCCAAGCTGGCACATTTCGAGTACAAGCTACAAAGCGAGTTTCCAACACTTGTATCCTGCTCTATCTGGTATTTGATAATGTAGGCATGGATTTGCTTCCCCAATTCAAGAAAATTTAATGCAGAACACGCTTTCAAAGCAATTCCTAAAGTATAATTCGTTGGATAAGACCCGACTTTCAGCATCTCTTGGAAAACATCGATGGCAACATCTGGTTGATCATTATGAACATAACCTGTCATCAATGCAGTCCATGCGACAACATTTTTCCTACGTAAACTGACAAAAACTTTTCGAGCATTTTCCATGGCTCCACTTTTGGCATAAACATTGACAAGGAATGTCATAACAAACAAATCTTGATGAGTTCCTGTCTTTATGATATGAGAATGAAAATTTTGAGCCCCTGAAAACGAATTCCTGTTGATGCATTCTTGCAAGAGGGGGACATAGCAAGATGTTTCAAAACTTGAACCATCTTTTATAATTGAGAGTGCTTCTTGGAAATCTACAGACCTAACTGAATCTGACTTGCCATCTGATTGGGTGAATGTATGAGTCCTTGGATAAGATATCCTTGGACTCTGAAAATCAATATGCACCATAGCATCAATAAAAAGGAACAAAACATAGTTCTTGCTAAATTATACTAAAAATTACAAGAAAAAATCAAATAAAAAAGCCAATAATTTTGGCAGATGAAGAATGAAATAGAATTAGTTGCAAGTAAAAAAGAAATCCCATATCATACAATATAAATAATAGCCCATTATCAGTGGCTAGGAAATACATGGATGGAATTCGTTAATTCAGTTACTTTTACTGCACACATATAAAAAACAAAGTTAAGGAAAGATATTGAAGAATACCTTTTCTGAGGAAAGAGAAGTGGGGGAGTGCTTTCTGGAGTCTGATTCGAGCTTGAGAGTGCCACTGCCGGCATATGAAGGCAAAGAAGCCATCGGACAAAGGTGGATGGATTATAAAAGTTATTTGAGTGAAGCATTTTGTTGTAAGAGTTACGGTACTTCAATTGTTACGTTATCCTAATTCCTATCTACTTGTCTGAGACAAGAGTGAAAAGCAAATAGTGGACCGTCAAATAGTCAAACTTTTTCCTTTCAATAAAATAAAATTAACATATGGTCAACATGGTCAATACCGAGATTAAAAAGAAAAAAACATTATTTTTTTTCTTGCTTCTTTGGGTTTTTTTTTCCCCAATTAAGAAAAAGATAATAATATTTTTTAAAAATAAAATTACAAAAAAATTCAAAATTTATCTTAATTGATTAATGCAATCAATTTTAAAAATAACATTTAATAAATTTAAAATTTTAATTTTAATACCTACAACTTTTTTATTTTCAAATTATAATTTTTTTTTACCAAAATATAAGCTTACAAAACAGTACCAGTGAACAACGTGCTTTCTTTTCTCTCTATAACGCAATCCTGGCCCTTGTATATTTTAATTTTTAATGATGGAATTACTACAACATTATTTATATTTGACATAAAAATTAATCACGTGACAATGTTTATAATATACATGAAAAATACAAGGTAAAATATTAACAAAATCCTTAAATTATTTTATTTTTAAAATAAATTTTTATACTTTTATTATATGTAAATTTTTTTATTTTTTATTTATAATTAAATAAATCTTTATTTAAAATGCCCCTTTATATTTAAGTACGAATTATATGTTAAGCCCTTACTTAAATACAAATTAAAAATTAACAACTTATTTAAGAATAAATTAAAAATTATAAGCTTATTTGAATGTAATAAAAATATAAAAATTTATTTCAATAAAATGATAAAATTCAAAAGCTTTTTTTGTTAATTTAGCCAAGAAGCAAACTCAAATTACTTTGGACTTCCACTTGCTGAATTGCGCAGATCATTCAGATTTCATTGGATGTTACCAACGGGGCAACAATTGCAAGCTACTTTGACGCTAACATGAGGAAGAAGAATTTAAACCGAGTATAATTCACACATCCAAAATGAAAGCCTAAGAATATCATCTCACTCATATATGTAACGACAATATGATCCTTGTATTGTCAATGGCAAATCGTTTTATCTCTGATTTATTCTCTTCAGTTGACAACAGGAACTTGAGAGTGGCTTTAGGGATTTGTAACCAAATACATCTGCAATATTGATAAGGGTCAATAAATGTATGGAACAAAAGCAATCAAAAGCTTTTAACTTCTATAAAGCAGCATGCTCAATCAGGTGTTCGATCATATCTGATTGATGGCACAAACATATGTTAAAGCTTAACAGAGAAGTAGACATCAGATTTCTTGGCATTACACGAGGATATCTATAGATTTCTCCACATGCACGTATTTTTTGACCCTAACGATGCTAAATGCAATCTCTGCATATTTTGGCATTGCAATAGATTCTCAAAGCCATACAATAAGACAGCGTTCCTCTAAAAGGATTACATGCTACAATTTGGAACAGCATCTAGTTAAAGCAGTTCTATAGAGCTGACAAACCTTGTATGTAAAAGAGTCCTCTTTAGTCCTTGTATTTCATTGATTCTTTCTCAAAACCAATAGTTGGAAATTGTTTGGCATACTCCTCAACTTCTTGTCGGAGCTTTGCAATCTCAGATTGAATGTTCGCATCTGACTGCAGGGTTGCTACAAAATCCTTCAACTTCGTTCCTGGATTTATTGCAATTCAAGGGAAATAATGTAAGCATACATTTTAGGTGACTAAATCCACTCCCACCTTTTGACAACAGATAAAGATATTGCTGTATAGGTGACTGATGAAGAGAAAAATACCATTTGTCTCAGCCTTGATTTTCAAGGCCAATTTGACAGCTGCATCAAAGAAGTCAGCTACCTTCTCAAAATCTTCCTCAACAAAACCCCTAGATGTGAGAGCTGGGGTTCCTGAATACAAGAAACCACAGAATTTAAAATCTAAGGGACCTAGCTAACTACCATAAGAAACATATGCTTTATGATCAAGGTGTATAGGTCCATACCCATACGGATGCCACCTGGAACCATAGCAGACAGATCGCCAGGAACAGTGTTTTTATTGGCTGCAATATGAACCGATTCCAATACCTTCTCAACTCTTGAGCCATCAATACCCTGTTGAACAGCATTCCAGAAACAGGGAACTTATTCTTTTATAATTCTATAGACTTTATTTACCAATTAAATTAAAAGCAATTGAAATTTAAAACTTCATTACAATCTATTTACAGAGTTCTGGTCAGTTAAAGGGTTGAAAAGTTTCCAGCCCTATTAAATAAGTTCCTATCCAATTAGTCTGTAGGAATTCTCATGATCACATAAAAGGCTAAAGAATTTTCTATAAAACAGTTCAAAAGGTCCAAGAACCTCATACCTTGTTTCTCAAATTGACCAAGACTAAATGGTTCTCGGTTCCACCAGATACTAGTTCATAGCCCTTTTCTAGCAACCTCTACATAAACAGCAAACACAGAATTGCAACTAGCACAGTTAAATCACTCAGAGTGGATAAGACAGTGTTATCCATAATGGTAAAGAAATGAATTCACATAAGCAAGTAGGATTTGGATCATTCGGCATACCTGAGCAAATATCGAGCAATTACTGAGAACTTGCTCTTGGTAAGCCTTGTACTCGGGTGTTCTGACCTATAATCACATATGTGAAACTCATGAAGCCTAAATACTCTTGGCTAACTTGGATAAAAAAATTATATGGCCTGAGCCTGGCATCATGTATTTTGCTTGCATAACCACAAATTTTTTATCAAAAAATACCTGTTTCAATGCAACTGCTAAACCAGCTATGGTGTGATTATGCGGACCACCTTGAAGTCCAGGAAAGACAGCTTGATTAATTTTGTCTTCCAAATCATACATCACCTGTAGGATGGAACTCAAAAAATTGATTGTCACTCTGCCTGCTTTACATTATAGAATTTCAAACAAGAAATGATAGGAAAAGTTACTACAAAAGTGATACTCAAGGTTAGCCATGCATGCATTTATTTTGGACTCAATTTTTCCTCCTCTTTTCCATTCATTCCACTCATTAGAAACAGAGAGACAAACAGACCAAAACTAACTTGAATAATGTTTTATACTCACTTCTTTTCCTTGTTTGTTAATCTCTTTCACTCCCTTCCTGAAGAAGATCATAGCACCACGTGGACCTCGAAGTGACTTGTGTGTTGTGGTTGTCACAACATCTGCATATTCAAAAGGAGATGGAATAACACCTGCAGCAACCAAACCACTAATATGTGCCATGTCAGCCAACAGAATAGCTTTCTGCTTGTCACAGACCTGTCAATAAATCAAAATTAAAGTCTCTTAGTTTCTCAATGTTGAATCAGATTCTTCTGACTGCAAGTCAAGCACAAAGGTGTTTACCTTGCGGATATGTGCATAGTCATAAAGGCGAGCATAAGCACTGGCACCAGCAACTATAAGTTTTGGTCTGAAAAGCACCGCACTTTTCTCCAACTGCAAACATTTTTATTCATCTAAATCAACTCTTTTAAAGAGTCTTTCAAGTAAAATTTCCATGAAAATATTTATATGAAAGAAAAAAGTGTGCAAAGTACTTTCCACCCAGAAAAGATCTTTTGCTTCCACTTCACTGTAGAATTTTATTTAAAATATAAATGTAAGTTCCATACGTCTGATGTGAAAATCTGATATGACTTGAAAACTTCAAACCAATAAATTGAAAATTTTGAACTATAAAAATATAATCATGTCCTTTTTAAGTCAAATTATGCATAAAAGATACAGCATGTAACAAATGTTTACAAAATGTTCCAGACATGAATTTAGAAAGGGTTGTGAAAGTAAAAGAAACGGTGATCAAAATCACATCCCTTGATTTGTACAGCATACCGTTACCAAGTCACTTGTGTAGATTATTTGAAATGCATACATTTTTGTTTCTGAAGATGCACAAATGTTATAAAAAGAAAATTAAACATCTCTACCAACATAGAATAGTATAGAAGAGCTACCTGATCATAGTCGATATAGCCAGTACTCTCGTCCAATCTATATGGCATTGTCTCAAAGAATATGGACACAGCAGATATCTTCTTAGTGTCAGTCTGCATAATGCAAAGAAAACATCAAAATTTGAGTTTAACACTATAAGCGTTAAGCAAGAGTTGAGTGGACTTAGAATAATGTTTCACTTTCCAAAGGGATCTTATGGAAAGGTGGCATAACCTGATATACTGTTCTTTAGAAAATAAAGGCAGATCAAAAAAATTAAACTAAAATATTAACTGCCATGAGCAGACAAAATAAAACCTAGTTCAGCAGAATAGCTCAAAATTATAGAACTAGTAAGCACCTGATAACCATGTGAAAGATGCCCGCCATGGGGTAGATCAAGTGCCATAATTCGTTCGTGAGGTTTCAACAATGCAGTATAAACTTGAAAGTTAGCAGGAGACCCTGAAAGTGACTGCACATTGACTGCAATAATGAAACAGATACAGGATAAGTTATATGCTGTCTCAAGGAAAATAGGTATTCCCGATGCAAAATCCTTCACATGCTCAAAATGAAAAGTTAAAACAGATATACAACTAAAGATGAAACTTAAGTTCGCATTTTCATAAGACTTCAACATGAAGGTCCCTCAAAAATAACCATAGCCCAGAATAGAAAAGAAATGGCGTGCATGATTCATTCACCTCCCCACTCTGCAGGATCCAACCCAAAAGCCTCTAGGGCACGCTTTTGACATAAGGACTCAGCCATGTCAATGTACCTGGTCAAATAAGAATTAAGAACATTACAAATTTACCCTACTAAGAATTTGTACTAGAAAGTAAAAACCTCATATGCCAATATATTTATTTTCCAATTCAATTCTTGAACAATGAGAATCAGTCTGAAAAAAATCAATTCAATTTCTAATTGAAATTAGCTGTGAAAAAAATCAATATACAAAAGCAAAGTAGATTGTCATACTCATTCCCTCCATAGTATCTAGCACCAGGATACCCTTCACTGTATTTATTGGTCATGACAGAGCCTACCGCTTGCATCACCGAGACGGATGTAAAATTCTCGGATGGTATAAGTTCTAATCCCTATAAAAACAAATTTAATCTCTCAATTAGGCAATAACTAACTAAAGTTGCTGAAAAAGAAAATAATTTTCTTCTTTTCCAATGGATCAAATACCAACAGATTATAAAGTTAAAATCTGAAATGCGAAAAAAGGCTTGTCATTTGAATTGATTAATACCTTCCATTGCCTAGCTTTCTCGAGTTCGATTATGTCAGCAATTTCAGGATCGATTTCTTCAAGCGGCGCATTCAACCGATGTACCCACTGCAAACTCAAACACGTTTTTTTGTTTTTTTGGTATTAGCATAAATCACAGTTAAAGAACAAAGATCTAAACATCTTCTGAAAACCATAAGGCTTACGTTAGCACGAGCTTTCTCTTTCTCTGCCGCAGCTGTTGACTGCAAAAAATAATAATAATAATTATAAATTTAACTAAATGAAAAAAAAAAAAAAAAAAAGTTCAGATTTTAGACCATAAAATAGAGGGAGCTGCCACTGAAGAGAGGTGTGACTCTGACTGGAGACTTGATGGAGGAAGAGAATCTACGAAGGCTCATTGCCATCGCCATTATTCGCGTTTTGAAGTTCCGAAGCGTTTCGGCTGCAATAACAAGAATAAAAAAAGTGGAATGTCTGATTCGGAGGCCGCGAGTGGGTTGGTGGAGGACTCAGACAGTTGCTTGTGAATATAGTAATTTTATAGAAGTGCGGGTTGCTGCTACAGATCAAAGTTCGTCCGGGTTTGCTTTTGTTTGATTTTGCGGTGCAACGTCACTCTCGGAAACTGCCACGTAATAATATTAAAATGGCCGCGGTAGTTCACTAGATCCCCACGGCGTCGTTTTGGGTTTAAAAAGGTCAAAGGGAAAACGAGATCAGCCCACCAGTATAGCCCATTAAGGTATGAAATTGGTTTGGATAGGAGCCCAAACCTCTAGGCCTTGTAAGCTTAATATTGGGCTTAACTTATTGGCCCAAAAGGGCTAATGTGGGCATTAATTTAGATAGAAGCTTAAATTACAAGGCCTAGCCCAATCTTAACTGGATTTGCTTTGCATCTTTGGAAGAAGCATGGTTTTTCCCAACAAAAAAAAAAATGCAATTGTCTTATGCCTATAAATCAGATCTTATTTAAGCACGGTCGTTAATTATTTAGTATGCTAAAAAATAAATTTTGATTTTTTTAAAAATAAAAAAATGACAGTTGTCAAATGTCATCATCATCGTAATTAAAAAAAAAAACCTTCTTCATCTCATTTCATTCTCTAACAACGACATATTTTCGTTTTTTTTTTTTTTCTATTGAAATAATGCAATTTAATCCAATTGTGTATAATTCAAAGTTTCCATTGAAACAGGTGAAATGAAAAATCAGTCTAGCCAATAACATTTTGAATGAGTAATTAAAAAAAATTGTGACATATTATAACATTTGGATTTGAGTTTAAACATCTTTAACTCTTATTTCAATATCAAAAAGAAAGAAAAATCAATCTCCAAGGTATATGAGCGTGCAAACCAAGTTGGAGAGAAAAATTAAAATTATATAATGAGAATTAGAGACGTTTTAACAGATAGTGCAAAGATCATATTTGGATTAATAAATAAAAAATGATCTTATTTATTCTGAGAGAAAGAACAATGTAAAAATGCCCATATTTAGACTTTGGTTGAGACGAATAAAGCGAGCTGGGAGGATTTAGTTTGTACTTTAATTTTCAACCTTTTCCTAAAATTTTTGGAATCTATGCAATTTTAGAATCTTTGGTTGTCTTTTCAATCCATATAATATGCACGCTGTCCTCTAACGTAAATCTACGTTCATGAACAGTAATGTGAATATCCACCATGATTGTACACATAACAAGCCGACAGTTTGGGGACGACCTAAAATTAATTTGTTGATTCTCTTTAATTTATTCCCGAACTGATGTTAAACCTTTGAATGAACGATTAATTTGCCTTTGCAAACAATTCATATCGAATAACAATTTTACCTACTCTTTGATTCAAGATAGAGAAATCACCGTTCAAACAAAATAAGACTAAGACCTTGCCCGAAGGATCTTGAAGAAGTTGACCCCAAAAAACACCCAATAAAAATTGCAGCAAAACGTTCCCTCCCTGAATAAAAAGTGACATTGATGTGCTAAACAAGAGGCAGCATTGCAGCTAAGACTCATTCATTAGTTTCTCTTTGGTTTGATTGTCTCTCTCTCTATGGGAACTATGGAAATAGAAGCAACACCGAAACTATCTGAGAAAGTACTCAAAGAGGATCCTGAAATAGACGAAAGCGAGCTCTCTCCGATTGAACAAATTCGTCTAACAGTGCCCACCACCGATAACCCTTCACTCCCAGTAAGGACTTTCCGCATGTGGTTCTTGGGTCTTTTCTCTTGTGCACTTCTTTCATTCTTGAACCAGTTCTTTGGCTACCGTAAGGAGCCACTCGTCATCACGCAAATCACTGTCCAGGCAGCAACTCTCCCCATCGGGAGGTTCATGGCTTCAGTTCTTCGTACGACGAAGTTTCATATACCTGGGTTTGGCTCGAGGGAATTCTCGGTTAACCTCGGACCTTTTAACATGAAGAAGCATGTTTTGATTACGATATTTGCTAATGCTGGGAGTGCTTTCGGGGGCGGTACCGCTTATGCTGTTGGTATTGTTACCATTATCAAGGCTTTTTACGGGTGGAGTATCTCTTTCTTGGCTAGTTGGCTTCTTATCATTACTACACAAGTTGGATTACTCTACTTTTAATTAGCCTTCGAGGTTCAAAAGCAAGACCCTAAAAAAGAGAGAAAATATAGGAGTATACGTTAGTGACATATGGTAACAGTTTTAAAAGAAGTCAGATTTGATGAATTAACTTTCATTTGAATTGGTGTAGAAAATAAAGAAAAAACAAAAAGATATGATTCTGATATGAATCATTTTACCTTTCAAAAGTTTAATTAGCAATACTATAATTAGCAATACTACCACAGTTAGTTTTGTTTTGGCTTTTTTTTTTTTCTGGTATTTTAATTAATTATGTTCATTGGCATGAGGCGTGTTGTGTGTTGAGTGCAGATTATGGGATATGGTTGTTTCGCCCTTCTTTGCCATTGTAAATGCCTTCATAGGATATGCCTTGATAATATGTCTGGTGATACCGGTGTCTAACCTGTACAATGCAAAAACTTTTCCTATATTTTCGTCGGACTTGCCACAACACAAGGTAAATTGTATAACATTACATTGATTGTTAATAACAAGTTCGAGCTAGATTTGCCTGAATACGAGAAGTTAGGGAGGGTCAATTTGAGCGCTTTCTTCGCTCTCACCTATGGATTTGGGTTCGCCACTATTGCATCCACAGTAACACATGTGGCCTTGTTCTATGGAAGGCAATTCAATTATTTAGTACTATTTCAGAAGTTAAATTCATTGTTCCAATTCCACTTCCCAAGACTGCCAATTATCATTTAATATCTACTAAAGCAGCATCTTAAGTAACGACCATGTTAATTACAGGGAAATTTATAGTAGATACAGAGCTTCTTCCAGGGAAAATGCTGATGTACACGCTAGGTTGATGAGAAACTACAAGGACCTAACTTCATGGTGGTTTTATTTGCTTTTTCCCGGCGCAATTATTGCTAGTCTTGCACTCTGCATCTTCCTTAAAAAGGATGTCCAGATGCCTTGGTGGGGACTGATATTTGCTGCTGCACTTGCCTTCTTTTTCACTCTGCCTGTCAGCATTATCACAGCCACGACCAATCTAGTAATTTAAGATAGGCAATTTTCTTATCAAGAAGGATTAATTTTTTTCTCTAATTCTCACTTATTTGTCTGTTATATTTACTTTAAGATCCTAATTTACGAATGTTTATGTTATCTCCATGCAGACGCCAGGGCTAAATATCATTGCAGAGTATATAATGAGAGCAATATTGCCTGGGCAACCAATAACCAACGTCTGTTTTAAGACCTATGGGTACATTAGCATGGCTCAGGCTGTTGTTTTTCTTAGCGATTTCAAGCTCGGTCATTACATGAAAATCCCTCCAAGATCAATGTTCCTGGTTCAGGTTTTATAATTTATTCTCTCTATACTTCTTTTCTTAGGACTACAAGATCTTTATTTTTCTGCGTCTAACTTGCATTATTATTTCTCTTACGTTGTTCCACTATTGCATTTGCATATCAGTTCATCGGAACAGTTTTAACAGGATCTGTCAACCTTGGTGTGGCCTGGTGGCTTCTAGGTTCTGTTGAAAACATGTCATAAAAATCTTCTCCCAGTAAATAGTCCTTGGACATGCCCCGGTGATAGAGTCTTCTTTGATGCATCTGTTATCTGGGGTTTGGTTGGACCTAAGCGAATTTTCGGCTCTCTTGGACAATACTCAACACTTAACTGGTTCTTCCTCGGAGGACTTTTGGGGCCATTTGTAGAAGGCATTTCCCAGTCAGACTTGGATTCCCCTTATCAATCTGCCAGTACTCTTAGGAGCAACTGGTAACATGCCACCAGCATCACCATTGAACTATACTTCCTGGATTTTTGTTGGAACCAAAGATTTAAATAGCGGTTGGATAGCGGAATAGCGAACGTTATTTCGCGATCGTACCACCATCTGTCACTGTTATTAAATAAAATACAAGAGAGAATTTGAATCTCGTTTATAATGAATGTATCGTGCATAACGTTGAATAGCAGCAATCGCTACTATGTTTTTCATTCAAAAATTCAAGAAAAAATTTTTCATTTGATTCTGTTTAAAAACTTAAAATAAAAACAGCAAGAAAGAAAATAAACATCAATTTGCAAATTTAGAAAAGAAAAACCCATAAAACTTAAACTTTCAAAAATATCAATTCTCTTAAATTCAATTTCAATTAAGATCAAGTATATGCAGTTTAAGGTAAGTAATTAATTCAGCATTTAAATTACTTTTTTTTTTTAATTTTCAAATTTATCTTGATTTTGTGTGTTTAGATTTGGATTGGGCTATGATGCATTGGTAGAATGGGGCAAGAGTTGTTGGGACTTAAAATGAGAGACAAGAAATGAGAGTGAGACTTGAGGTTGACGGAGATAAACAGATAGCACAAAAAAAAAAAAAAAGAGAACTGAGAGATAGGGATGAAGATGAAGGTTTGAAAAAAAAAATTATTGAATACAAGGTGAGGGGATGAGAAGTTGTGTAAGTCCGTGCAATTTAGTCAAGAGGTAGATGAAGTAGACTTGAGGCTATTATTATTGAAGATTGCCCACAACATAAAGACCATCAAATTTGATTTACTGTAAGCCCGTAAAAAGCAATTCTCTTGATCCATAAATAATAATGCTCTTACTTAATTTATAGATGTCTAATCGCTTATTATTTGATTTATGCATAATTTATTTCAGTAATAATTTGATGAGTACGAAATTAAATAATTAAATATATCATTCGTTATGATTATTTATTTTTTACATTTTAGTTATCTCATGTTATTTTCTAATTATCATATGAATAATTTTTTAAATATGAATATTTTACTATAAATATTTTTTTTTAAACAAATAAAATACATAATATGATATAAATTACTTTAAAAATCATAAAAAAAAAGATTTTATGATTAATAATTAAAATTATTATATTTTATAGCAAATTGAGCAAAATTTTAAAAAATTTATGACTGTGATAGCGCAATGATCGCGAAGGTCTTCGTTTTATCCACAACCGTAATAAATACGACGTGATTAAAAATATAACCACTATCGTAATTTAAATCCCTGGTTGGAACTATCTTCAACTTCTTCGTGTTCAAGTATCTAAAGCAGTGGTGGCGGATGTATAATTACATTCTATCAGCAGCATTGGATGCAGG